TATCAATTATATAATGCCCACTTACGTCCTTTAGGATTGCAAGCATGTCACGTGCGACAATGGATGTTTGGGGTCTTGGTACCACCGATTCTTTGAAGAAGGTGCTAGCTCTCACTGGAACCAAGTTAGAAGTACGGCGAATATTCGGGCTGTGAAAGAAAGAAGAAAATAATATATCTTGGCAATTTTAAGTATGTAATATTTATTATGAAACTTTTGTAAGATATTACGTTGAGTAGATACTTTAATACAAAGCACAAATATGCATGACCAAAATGGTGGAAATCTTACATGAAGAATTGAAATATCTTACACTGAATTAAGTTGAATAATTGAATAAAACATTTGACATGTGAACTTCCAATGATGACATATCACCGTTGTATAAAAGCATGTAAGGTTTCCCTTGAAGTAACTGTGACTGACATGGAAAGTAATTTGTACTAGTATTAATACACACATGAACATAATATTACATGAATAAAAGCATATAATATATAATAAACAGTGTTATTATAATGAGGTCGACTTATTTGAATGCTTCCTTAAGCACGTAACTTTAACTTAGAGTATAATAAGTATACTAATATATGAGGTAGGGCACTGAAATAATAGCTTAATTGCATAGTATATTAAAATGACTTCACAGGCTGTGATGCTTTGCTATATTACCTTGCCGCACAAGAAAAATAGATTTTCTTTGTTACAGCCAAATAGATATAGTAAAGATAGTTCTTTGAGACAATTTAGTGTGGTGTTTGGTATTTACTTTACAGAAATGTTATTTTTGTTACCTGTATCATAAGTACATATCGTTTTTGCATGTTTCACTTAATTTAAGTCTAATAACGAACCGTATTTAAAGAGTTTTAAAACTAACCTTAACAATGCCGATTAACGATCTCCATGTGCAAACTACGTGATTCGTTGCGTTAAGTTCAGGTTGCATTCACTTCGACGAATGAGACGAGTGCTAATGAATTATCTTGAAGTTGGTGATTGTAATATGTCATGTCAAAAATGACGGGTGAATTAATTAAAAAAGTTTTGTTATGGTGATTAAATAAAAGAATTTTTCATTTTGAATACATATAAATCGAACAAAATTCAAGAAAATACAATTTTACAGATTTTATTGACTTGTGTGGTTTTCTTTGTTTTATGTTAGGATGCGGCACATGTGTGATAATTGTTAAGGTGCGCGATTGTCACGGTGTCATAAAGTGTCGACAAATTAATATAAATTCCACAATATTAAGAAAAAACTGTTTTAATAATTTATATTTATTTATTTTTCCACGCTCAAAATGTCTTGTATCAATCATCCAGTGTCGTTTTAAGAATCGTTAAAACTAAATTGCTGAAGTGCAATTAAAATTTTGACATTAGAGTGACATAACTGAAGTCTCGCACAATAATTGCACAATATGAATCTATGAAAAAATGCTTTGAAACGTAAGTCCACATTTTTTAATTAACATAAAATTGATTATCGACTATATCATCACCACTTTGTCATATCTATGTACAAAAAATCAGCTTCAAACTTTTTTGTCCGAATCAGTAAAAACATTCATTTAAGACCAATATATTAAAAATGCAATACTCACTTATCGCACTCGGTCATGGCTTCACCCAAGCACAAGCGTTAAAATCCCACTTACACAAAACTGTCTTGCTTTCTTCGGCATCCGCAACATGCGGCTAGTCGACCCCATTGGGTTGGCGCTAGGGTCGACACGCCCTTGATGTGATGCCTGGAAGACTCGGGAATCAACTGAAGTAGAACGTACGAAAACAGCGATAAATTAAACAAACATAGATCAACAATGATGCATTGTTAAGATAGGAAATTCGGTTGCTAATAAGTATAATAGTATATACAATTTCCCTCTATCGGTGTATTTGGTTTTAATTCCTATTTATAATATTTTTAGTACCTGCAGTATCGTTCGCATAGTTTTTTAAAAGGAAATTAAGGTTTTTGCATTCAATGCTGATTACTATCAAATTGTTAGCTTTTTTGTATTAGCTTTATTGAGAAAATGTCTTCATTTAAAACATTTGTTGTACAATTTATTTCATAGGCTAATGTAATAACACTTTTGACCGTTTTCATGCCTGTAAAGAGATTTGACTTGTTTTAATTATTACTAATGGGTGAAGTAATTAAAAAATTAACTAGTGGTGCATGGCATTATGTCTTAAAGCATCAATTTGTTGGATTTGTAAATATATCTGAAAATAGTTATTTTTAAGGTTAGTGTTATTTGTCTTCAGGTGCTATGTAAGTGTTATATGTAAAATTAGCACTAATTTTTAGGAAATATTTGCTAATTTTACCTTACTCTTCTAAGTTCAAAATTTTGATCTCATTGCGCAAACAAACCTTCAATTTTAGTTAGTCAATCAAGTATAAAAATTATAATATACTAGAGTTGTTTTGTATACTTATGAGATGCAAAAAAGTATTTGATACTATAAATATGCATTTCATTTGAAGTAAATATGCCGAAACTGTGAACAAATTATTTTAAATAAATTTAGTTTATATATTTTGTAATGATACTTTCATAATTAGATGGTCAACAATGCTCTCATAATATACACATTTCTAATATTCTGATTGGAAATATTATTAGCATCAATTGCAATAACGCAGGTTGTAATTATTAATTAGAATTTAATTATATAGTAATGAACTTTATACAAAAGTACTACAACTTAGTTGCGGTGCAGGTTGCAATTTATTATAAAATTGTAGTTTTACTTCCAAAGAATTGTTAATGGTGGCTGTTGTTTATTGCTAAATATAGTTTTTTAGGAAAATATAGTGTAATATTTATATTTTTGTTATTACTTATGGATTTACATTTGTAGCAATGGGAATTTAAAATTACATTTAATATATATTAAATTTACATGCTATTTTTTTCTAATGATACTTAAGGTATTCCTTGTCTGATTATCCTGAAGACCATATTTTTGTATGTGGATGACATGAACAGAAATTCTTCATGATTTAATTGGAAGTGTGTAACATCATGGACATTCTTAGATATCCTGTTGATATTTGCTTCCAACCCTAAAATAAAATGAGAAAGGATTAAGTTTACGGAATTTCGTAATGATTGTATTTGAATTTTCTAACTTACCTTCAATGTATGTATAATCATAAATATAAAAGTTTCCATTATCTGTGGTCACACATAATAATACTTCACCTTTTTGGAATCTGAAATTATAAAACAAGAGTATTATTATTTAATGCTGAATTTAATAGTATATTTAGTTAGGCTTTTTTTACTTTGAGGGTAGAAAATATGCAATCCACGCAAATATGACTCATATATAAAGCTCTGGAAATAATGGAACATATCCAGCTGTTCTATGTAACGATTAATTCTAAGAATTTTATAATTCTCGTCGCCCACAAAAATAAATTGCTCTTTTCCAAAAACTGCGCTAGCCATCAAGCCACAACCTTCTGTCGAAACTGTACGTACTGGTTTGAACTGAAATTGTAATTGATTAATAAAAATTATCATGATGGATCATTTTCACCAAAAAATGTTTACCTGATAGTTTTCTTGGTCGTATTTCATTATTTCAAAATATGCTTGAATGTCCTCATTTTGCACAGCGTTGCAGATTACAAGATGTGTCCCAAAGGACTCTGCAGAAGTTCTAAGGTCGTTGCAGATCTTGTTGAAATATACTGAACTATGTGTGTTTCCCTCTAATTAAAATAAAATTAAAATTGATTAATTAACATATAATTGAATGAAATATAACCCTCAGCAAAACGTCGCCTAAACAGATTTCCTCCAAAATATGAAGTATTTGAGTTTAAAAAAATCATGTGTGATTTAAATCGTTAATGTGCTCGGTCATTATAGTTCTACATTGCTTACTGCTATTTTTATAATTATTTTGGTTTTGATGAAGGTGTTTTCGTCAAGTTTTACCTATGTATGTAAATTCACAATCAGAGCATCTAATTTGGTAAACTAAACTTCTAAAAGGATTTTTGTTAAATCGATATTATCACTTACCGTTGTCATGTTCAATTCGAGTAACAAGGAATCGATATCATGAGAATCAGATGATTTATCATAATACATTGCCAGTACGAGAAATATACGACTACTACGATCTCTGAAGAATTTTGCATCACTCAAATATCCATTGTAATATTTTTGGTCAATAGTAATATCACCTGTGTGCAGAAATAATTTCATTTTAACCAGATTTGGTCAAATTTTAGTGAATAAGGTTGAATACATACCTATAGGTGTACTGTCAGGTGTTTCGCGTTGTGGTTCCATCCAAGTAACGTAAGTTAATTCTTCATTAGCAGTACTGGAAACAAAGATTAAAACTAGCTTTCGTGTAAATTTGTTAAGTTTTAAATGTTAAATATTGCCTTACCTGCAAAATGCACTCGTGCTAATTGAATTCGTAAAAATATTGATACCTATACCATCATCATGATAGGAAAATACTCTGTGTGTAGCATTTCCAGGCAAAATAGAGATAGAACGCTGATTTGGTATATCCACCTACAAAAATATGAAAAAGTAAATGAACATTTAATAATGTTTGTAATATGTTGTATAATTTTATGACTAACTGTGTATTGTACAGAGCAAGGACAAAATTGTGGCAAATAACAGACTTCTCCTGATACATCATTCGAAAGTTGTAAAAATCCTGGCCTGATAGTCTCGACTTTTTTGGATGGCGGTTCTAGTATCCGTATTTCTGATGGCTCCAAGTACAAATAATGATAATACGCTGTGAATAGTATTAAAAATTATATTTGCATTTTTCGAAATTATTAAACTTCAGACTCTCACGTTTAATGCTGTTGAAGGTGTAATTTAATTTCGTGTCCATCTCTTGGGCAAATGTATTGTCCAGGAAAGGTTTCGCGTAGAAGTTTAACCAGGTTTGATTCTCATAGGCATGAGCATATAAGCCATTTAATAGCTGTACTGGATTATTAAATACCTATAAAAAGTTAACACATTTATACAATGAAAGAAGCTACTAGATGAAAATTGGTATGTTGCTGGTTTAATATTTACCACATGTGATATATAATAATCTTTATTTTTCCTAATACTATTGGAATACGTAGTTTGCAAATGAAAATCGTTCAGAAATTTGGCGGAAATATCTCCATAGACTTTTAAACCCTTCTCGAACACTTTCATTCCAGTAATGGTGTCCGACGTTGCTACATCAGTAAAAACGACTTCATCCAAAGATATATTGTTTATTTTTGACACAAAAGAAGGCCCTGGGGATCAAAATATTTAACTAAATGTTTTAATTACATATATTTTTGCTTTGGTGCTATTTTAAATACCTGCTATATTTAATTTTGCGAATTGGACGTGTGCTGATACATTTTGGGCATCGCCTCGTAAACGTACTCTTTTAGACAAAAATTCATCCAAATTACGCCCATTTATATCCTGTACTTGCAAATTATCTTTTATATGCAAAGTATTGAATACAATATTAGGAATTGGACGATCATTTTCGAAGAAAACCACATCATTTACTGCAACACTATTGACCAAACCTTCAACCTAAAAAAGAAATCACCAATAAATAAGACGAAGGATATGTTTCTGTTTTATTGAAAGGATGATGAATCTTACTATCAAATCGTCAACAAACACGTTTTGTTTCAAAATCTTGCTGCCTGTTATGACAGCATCTTCATTTTTCCAAACAAGACTTTCATTCAATTCACCGATTTTAACACCATTGATGATAAATGCATCAAAGTCACCCAATACTTCAGCTTGTGACAATACTGTAGGGCTAATAAAAGTTTTGGAACAGCTAATGTGCTTAACCTGCACACAAAAGAAATAATATAATAATGATTTTCAATGCCTGAAAAAATAAAGTTATACAAACGTCTGAGGAATGTTTGAATAAAGCGTCTTGCGCAATATAATCCAAGTTTACGTTATTTATGTAATTAGTTGTTATGATGTTGTCGAACGTAACTGCTCCTGTAAATCTCACCTAAAACAATAAAACAAATATACTTTGGAAGTATAAAAGCAACACTATGAATCGTGGTATACTTTTCCAGTAATATTTTTAGCAATCCATCAGTAACAGCATTTTCTACTATATTTTCAAGAACTTTGGTCAACTCTGGATGTTGAAGTTGGTTTTGGATGTACATCAACTTCCATTTCTTATTTGGCATTTCGTATAAATTTGAACTATTCACAAAACATTGGCTGTTCCATATCATATTTTGCACACTTAAAGGTGATTTGAACCAAACCGGAGAATTGATTTCATTAGAAATGGAAATATCGATTAATTGCTGCTCCGTATTTATATTATTCACATAATTTGCGAATAAATTATCTGAAAAAAGGTGCATAGTTGAGTGTCACAAGTAGACATCTTCCGTTGCTAGTCTTGGATTTTAATTGAACCTGGTATGATGATATCTTTGGTAATCAGAATGACGTTCGCTTTTCTTTTGCCTCCGTTTTTACCACCAAATCTATCATCATGCCGAGTTATGCAATAATCCAAGAAGGAATAACAAAAAAAAATCAGTATATAATTTTAAACATTAATACCTGTTTTGATGTTTAAAATTTCGTAATGCCCAGTAATATTTTGACTTGTGGATTTAGTAAGACCATAGTTATATAAATCGTATAAATTTACACCAGATATTTCAGGAGCTGTTAGTTCTTCTAATATTGTCACCGGCGCTGTAAATATCTTACGACCACCAATTTGTTTGTTTGAGTCTTTGAGAACAACCTACAAATCATTGTCAATAAACGTAAAATTAATGGTTGTTATTAAAGAATGTAAATAGTAGTTACCATGTCCAAATATTCTGCAAGATCAATTCCATTCACTGATTGAAGATTTTTGATTTCTTTAATATGAACGCTCCCGTTGATTCGAATAACTTTTGGTGATTCTCCATCATTTTCATTGCTACGATACTGTTCATTGCCTTTTCCAACATTGGCAGCATCTATTGTCTTTAGCTCTTCCAAATTTATATATTCCGCTAGAAAATAGAAGATATCTTATTTTTTTTTCAAATCCTAATATAAACTATTCTATATTTCCTATATTATGAGATAATTTTTCACCGGCTAAGGAATCGATATTAAGTTCACCAAAAGATGCAGGTTCATCTATCTTCAACAAATTATCAAAATATTTTTTTAAGTCGACTCCGTTTAATGATGCAGCACATGCATCATTTGCCATAAGTGTAGACACATTCATATAAGGTACAGTTTTGGAACCTACGGTAAATTAAATTTATTGTATACACATTTTAAAATTAAATTTGATGTTATAAAGTACAAATACATTTGAAATATTTTTTTTTGGTATCAGTCTTTGACACTAAGTCAGAAACTGGTATTCCATCCAAAATTTTCACATTAGCATCTTTAACATCAGCTTCACCAGTGAATTCAACATCACCTTGGATGGTACACCTAGAATAGATGATACTTGATTAATAATAATATACAGTAAATCCTTTTTATTTGTTTACATGTTGCAATACGTTTGCGAATTTTCTAGCTAAAATAAACTTCTTCAAAAATATGGAAATAAGTAAAATGTGTAAATGTGTAAATATAAATATAGTTATATACTATATATATAAAATATAGTTTTTCCAGGGTCAAACAATTATAAGTTCTTACTTTCCAGTGAGACGAACAGCATGTTCATAAAGCACTTGTAAAAATGGATCGTACATCACATTTGATCTATCAAAATTTAAATTTCCTCCGATTTCTGCTTGACTAAATATCAAATGTCCAAATGTTGATAATTCTCCATCTTTAGTAATATACCGTGACCAATTTTGGGAATTTACTTTGTCCAAATAAACTTGAGGTGTTTTCACATTTTTCACAAAAGTCACATTGGATTTTACGACCTAAATAATAAAATAAGTCAACACCTATTAGTATATTACCATTACCTATATATTACCTAGTGATTTGATTACCTGGTCATTGGTTTTCGTCCAATAATATTGCGGTATGTTCATGAACACTGGACTGTCTTGTAAATACACTTTTGCATCGGATTCTAAATGCAAGTTTGGTATTGTTACTGAACCTTTGATCAAAACCTTGCCATTATAGATTTGCAAAAGTTCGAATAGTTTTGTTCCGGGAATTTGTTTATCAAACAAGGAGTTATCGTTCAACGTCAAATCATGTTCTACATTTAAATGTTCAATTTCAACATTTCCTAAAAATAGAATAAAAATGAATTGAAGACTCAGGCTTGATATGTAAATTGTATTTACTGATGTTGGTTCCTGGTGCAGCAATAGCTTCTTTGAAATTTAAACTGTTTATTGATCCTGCTACAACTTCTTCTACATGAAGATTTTGTATCGTTATATTTGATGTTATCACTTGGTCTGTTGTTTTTGTAAATATATTTTCTACTGGAATTCCAAATATGCTTTGCAAGTTACCAGAATGAACTCTTGATCGTGATTTTATAATCAAGTCGCCTTAAATTATAAAATTTTGAATAATTATTGTTAGATTTAACATTGAAGTACTAAAGTGAATAAATTTAATGAAGTTACCTTCAATTTTTGAATGACCATCAATATCCAAGTAAAGAGTTTTTAAAAAGTCATTCCATTTGATGCCATTCAGATATTCGACATCCAGATTTTTGACAGAAATGTTTTCATACACCGCCAAATTTCCTTCGAACTCAGAATTCATATTTTCTATCCAACTTAAAGTGTCGACCTGCAAAATATTACTATTATTGTATAAAATGAAGAATATCTTATGTAATGTATTCGGCTGTATTCGGCTTACCTGATTAAATAAAGTGGCGTTCATATTGTTTACAAACAAATTTTGAACCGTTTTTGTACCATATACGATTCCATCGTTGGCCTCAACTAAATTTTCGATCGGGACATCATTTATCAAACCAGGAGAAGGTAGAATATTATTTAAAATCAAATTGGTACCGGAATATATTCCGGTAATTTTTTGATCTCCTGCACTAAGGAGTAGATCTGTAAATACAGACAAATTAAATTCAATTAAGAAAATATATCAAATTCTATTTAAGAGCCTTACCATCGACAATTGTTCCAGGTGCAGTGTACAAATGATGAGCTTTTATACTTTGGGCTACCAGAACTGATTCCATGGAGTCTGGGGCGCTCGGGCGATCAAGGAAAACTATACCATCTAGTCCGGTGGCCATGGACACAGAAGCTGAACCTAAATTGCCTTCGATTGTTGAAACGCCTCCAGGGACATACACGTTTACTGAAATCTAGGATAACATACCACAATTTGGAATAAAGTACATATTTAAGACAGGTAATGAATACGATTTTATATAGTAGAATGAATCGACTGTAAATTATGATATTTGTGAGTTAAATTGAATTGTGATTTATTGAAGTAAATATTGAAAAACAAATATAATATACATTTTAATATTAGTACTTGAGCAAAATAACAATCAATTCAAGACGTTATACATGAAAAAAAGTTTTTTTATTTAATTTTGCTTACCGTATTAGGGCGCGATTTATATAGGAAATGATCTCTCATACTGTTAAGATTTCCAGCCTTATTTTGTAGTTCAACTACAGTTTGTAATAATTCAGTCGGACTAGTCAAATAATAGAAATTTTCTTGGCCATTGGATACGGTACCCGATCGCACTTTGGTCGCGACACCAACTTTTAGAACTCCTGAATAGTTTTGTGGAGTATCGATGCGTAGAATAGAAGGAACCTGGTTTCAATATATAATAATAATACAATATAAAATTACATTGAAACAATGAATTACAAAACGATACTTTAAATAATTTGTATATTATACCTCGGATTCTAATTTCTTGATATTTTCACGATTTACTAACATAGCATTTTGAAGACTACTAAAACATTGCATAAGAGGATCCAACTGGGATCCCACAACGTCTGTAAAGAAATTTAATTTAAATATTGTATTTTTTTTGTTAAATTCATTTGTATTTTATACCTTCATCTTGCATTTTAACAGAAAATGGAATCGTTTGAAGATATATTCTGTTTTTAAATAACGTACTATATGTGATAAATGAATTTTCATCATTTGAAGAATTGACTATGATTGCTGAGGCAATGTTTTCTTTTACTTTTCGATAATTTCCAACACGAAATTTGTCCCAGACTTTGTGCACAACTATATAATGCTGCAACATTATAATATATTTATAATAAAAATATATATCCAAAGCATAACACAACAATCAAGCATTTTTTAAATATAAGATTAATTCTAAAGCAAAAAACACACTATGATTCTGTTTTTAAGCAGTGATCAGATTTTTAAAGCACTTTGTGAAGAAAGTTGTAAATAAGACAATTTTTACAGAGAAAACTGCAAATTAATATTCAAATTCTAATAGTGAACATTTTGAAGAATGATTCATGATTAATTTTTTTGGTGATTGCCCGATAAAAATTTGACTGAAACCGACTAGGAGAAAATTTCAAACCAAAAACGTATTGAAAAATAGGATTCAATCGCTGGAAACGTGAAGTTTAATGAAAACTATTGATAAGAATTTATTTATAAACACCCATTTTCAAGAGACAAATGCGACTTCTGGTAGCTTTTAAAAACTGCTAAAAGAAAACTTTAATTTTCAATATTGATTAAGTTGATTACGCAACTTGCTTTAAGGCAAAATGACACACCTAGTTATATTGTATTTTCATTTTCTTACCTTATAAAAAACAAATACCACAGCCCGATTGTCATTGCTCCATACATCTACCGAAGTTGGCTCACCAAATTCGGGTTTTCGATCCAAACTGCCAACTTGTACTAAACGATGACCATTCCAAACCAATACAGTTTTATCAGAAACTACATAAAATTTTGTTTGGAACTGAAAATATTTAAGACAATCACGACAAGAAGTTTGGAATTTCATATTTTGCACTTTTTTTAAATTATTTCCATTCCATTGCAGTAACAACGATGCCTGAAATTAATAACATATGTAGAAGATATTTTTTTTTTATTTTAAAATTAATATCTACCTTTCCTTCTCCATATTTGGGTGCTAGCAAAATTAAGTCATCTGTTTTCCATTTAAATGCAATAATAGAAGACACATGTGGTACTTCTAGGTTCTCTTGAACATCGAAATGCGTTTCGACCCATTTAAATAATCTGATTTTAATTAAATAAAATATATTGGAAAAAATAGTATTTATTGATTCAAACTTTTAAAGATTCAAATTAAAAAAAAAATTAAAAATCGTTCATTGAAAATTACTTTATACATTGTATATTGAAAGACTATGAAATTACCAAGCATCACGAATTTTTTTGAAACAAGGCTTTAATGTTCAGAAAAAATTAATTGTAAATAATATTATCTATCCAGAAAATTTGGGTTTACTTAAAAAAAATACATTGTTTTCTATGACTTGATTTCATAAAATAAAAACAACTTTTTATTACCTGGCATCCGTCTTCCCATTACCAGATTGCGTAACAAACATACAATATATATCTTGTCGATGAAAACATTTAACTGAAGTAACTGATAATTTAATTGTTTGCACTGGATTTTGATCAATTGTAGATTGATACACATAAACAAAATCGTTTTCGAATTTGACCAAAAACAATAAAATATTTTTCATCCAATTGACGACCTGATCGAAAATGCATTAATAGACGTTGTAAAGAAATAAGTCATTTATGTTTTACCTCTACGAAAACCGGGATTTTTTCATGTTTAAAAGTAATGATATGTTCTAAATTATTTTCATTGAATTTTAAAATGTTCCTTTCATCAACTGCATATACTGTATTGAAATTATGAGTTTGGGCTAATTTTAAAAATGGCGAGTAAGGTTGGTTATTAATTTGCAAAAATTGTTCATGGAATGATACATCTGAATCTTGGGTACCTAGATAAAAATTTATTTATACACAAACATATTGGAAATGTATAACTATTTAATGATACTACTTTTTTTCACACGAATCTTCTTTTCGAAACTTTTTTCTAATGAGCGTGTAGCACGTTTGAGTTGTTCTTTTACATATTTGTCAATAATGGCGTCATTTTTGTTAATTTTTAAATCACCTTGTGCATTAACTATCTGTAAAATATTTATTTAAAATTATATTTGAACACGATAGAAGTTAGATTATTTTATAACACCTTAACTAGTATAATTAAACATAAAAAAGTATTCCACCACGTGGTTTTCATTTCATAATCTTTGTGATACCCTTGACTCAGCAAACACTACTTCTGAAATCATTCTGAAATTGTATGCAAAAAAATATGTTTCTAGTTATGGAATATACCTGTAGAGGATGGACAGAGTCTAATTGGGTGCTTACAGTTTTTCTTAAATAGGTTTTTGAATATTTTGCATTTTATTATATTTTTTGCGAAAGTTTGTTTTTGCCAGAGAAAATTAATTATTAATTTTATGTTTTCTCGATGTTTCAAAAGGTGTGTGTTTTATATAGCGAAGGAAATGATTTTATGCATGCCAGGCTTAGATGTATTTGGAAATGTCGGATATAATAATAATACTGAATAAAACCTCCGCTTTTCCATTGCCTCTTGCCAAAATTTTATATTTCGTCGAGGTTTTCTGAACAAATGCTTCAAAAATTAAAGGAACTCAAGTTGATTAGTTATTTACGACGATCGACAGAACACAAATTTTATAATTAGCCTATAAGACTTAAATTTATATATGTTTTCGTCAAAAATTGGGAACAATTTTTGAAAGTTCAATTCAGAAAGATATCACATGGAAAACGTGCTGATTAGTTTCTGGCGAAAATCGGCGAGCTTTTCTTCGTAATCTTTGAAAAAAAATTAAATTAAATTAATAAAATAAAAATTAAAAATAGTGATAGTTTTTTCATGATCTGGCTTACTTATAAGAAAATACTAAATTTTGGATTTTAATACAACTACATATATTGTGTTCAAAAAACATTTTTTATGGGAAGCGACAACTTCATTTTCTAAATAAGTAATTGAACATTTTATCGTGATAATTTTAAAAGTTGTAATCCTTCAATTCCTATCCCACTTGCATTAAAGCAAAATGTTTATCATTATTAAATGAAACAACTGGTACATTAATATAACAATTTATTTTTCGAAATATTTCTGAATGCTTGCTGCTGTACGAATCCAGCAAAGCACATTACGGATAAGCGTAATATGTATCAGCGTTATTGCGTTACAAAATAAAACAATCCTGCTTCCTCGTGTGATACTTTAACAATACAAAAGCAATTTAGGAAGCAGTAAAAAGCACTTACATGAATTTAAAATTAAAATAAATTAACGAATAAAACATAAAATAAAGATTTATGTTCGGCCTAATATATAAGCCGAAGTGCGCAAGGCGAATTATAATGAAAAACACGCGTACAAAGAATTTTCTGTGTGGATGGTAAGGTTGAGGATGCCAGAAAAAAATCAGTACACGTGTTTTAAATTATACATACACATACAATACACGCTTAGATACACACTAATAATTTATTCATATAAACATAATAATTTAATAAACTTAAGTTTACACGATATCTCGCGATTCAACGCGAGTCGTCTCGTTTTTTGGCCTAAGCCGTGTGCAGGATCGGTTATTAATTTAGTTGTTCGGCTCAATGCTCGGCTGCGACATTCACTGAGAACGCAGCGAATGTTTCTCCTGTCTTACCGATGGCTTTGGCTTGGTATTGGCCCACGTCTATGCTGGCGCAGGATACTATCTCTAATCGGAAGGTCGTTTTGCCCTCCATTGTGAATCGATAGCGAGAGCTCTTCTCGTCAATAGGTTTACCATCTTTTATCCATTGAAGTCCAAGAACTTCGTCTTCTGTGCGAACTAAGAACGATGCACTCTCGCCCTCTTGCACGCTGGCGGACTCTGGGAAAGTGCTGAAAGCTGGTGTCTTTTTCTTCTCGCCTGGTACTAACACATTTAGTGTGCACGAACTGAAGCTTTCTCCTGCATCGTTGAATGCTTCACATGTGTAGGTGCCGCAATCCTCAGGGAATATTTCTGCTATTTGGAGTTTATATATATTTGCTTCATTTGAATACATAAAGTCTTTGCTTGGTTTAATTTCTTTGTTATTGTGCAACCAGACGACATCGAATTTCTCAGCATCTATTATTCTACAAGATAACGTGACGGGTGTTCCATCTTCGACGTATTTGGATTCTAAGTGACTCACTATTTTAGGTGGTTTGTCTCCTGTAGCTTTCTTTGACACCTTGCCGTTTGCCATTGCTAAAAATAATATGAATAAAATCAGTTATAAAATTATTTTTGCAATAAAATTTAAAATTACTCACGTTTAACCGTTAATTTACAACTTGTTTCACTAACTCCAATTGAATTGGTAGCTTTACAAACATAAACACCTTCATCTTCTGGGAATACTTCATTTATCGATAATGTGGCAACGCCATTTTTATATTTCAAGTCCATAATTTCGGAAGAACTCAATGCCTAAAATTATATACAATTTGAAGAAAATATACTAAGGTTTATGCCACTTTTCTTATCAATTTACCTTGCCGCCTTTAAACCACGAAACTTGTGGTTCTGGGTCACCCTTAACGGTACATGTTAATGTTAAACTATCACCATCTTTTACAGATCTATCTTTTAAAGGAGTTGTAAAATCTGGTTTGCACATTAGAGAATCATCTGGGGGCACTATTGATAAAGAAATAAATATAATCAGCTGCATCTAATAATTTACAGATATTTGACATTTTATTATTCTTACATATTAATTCTTTGGTAGCGCTACGAGATCTGGAAGGGCTTCCAGTTGTATCTAAGTTACCACCGTATTTTTTAGGTGATCGTTTATCTAATGCTTCATTGATGCTATTTAGATTTACAGTATTTACATTATCTTGGTTTCTACTAGAAGCCGCACTTACACTTGGTTTTCTTACGGTTACTATTGGCGGTGGGGCTGGTTTTAGGGGTTGCTCTATATACCTACGATCTGAATATATATTCAATTTAGTTAAGAATACTTAACTTGAAATAACTATATAAAAATAAATTAGATATTGTATTTTACCTCCGGAATATAATAATTTTCTTGCAAGTTGTGCTTGTTCTGCGGTTCCACCTTCACCTGAAATGATAAATATTATCAATAAATTGGAATTTAATAATTATGAAAGTTTGCTGGTTATTTTTTGTACCTTCTACGATCACCACACAACTTGATTCATCTGTTCCGTGACAATTGGTCGCTATACAACTATATTTACCAGAATCTTCTGGTTTGCAGTCTACAATCTCCATAGTCACAACACCATCTGAGTGAGTCATATTATATTCATATTTGCTAAGTTCCCTCTTATCCTTGTACCATTTAACTGTGGGTACTGGTTTTCCACTGAGACAACAAAGTAATTTACAAGTATCGCGACACTGCATAACACGAGGACGTAATAGGAATGTGAATCTTGGGGCGGATTCGGATTCTTCTTGCCACAATGTATATGGAAGCGCTTCTCGCCTTCTGACTGGTTGCTTTTCGGGTTTATATACAGGAGCTTCCTTTGGCAATGCTGTAAAAGAAAATTCGTTTCAAAACAGTATCAACAATAAAAATCATAAAATGAAATAAAGGTGTACTAACGTTGAACGTTGAGGAATACTACTTCTTCTCTTGATCCATAGTGATTTTCTGCTCTAATAATATATTCACCACGGTCTTCAACCTTTACTCTGTTAATTATGAATGTGTAGTCGTCACCAACGTAACGTTTCATGAATTTAACGCTCTGCCTCAAATCTTGATTGTTGTGTGACCAGGATAGTGTACAAGTGGCAATTGCAATCACACGGCAAGTAAATTTGACACTTTGGCCTTCGTAACAGAAAGCACTTTGAGGTTTGATGACAAAGCGTGGCATAGCTTGGCGACGATCTATAAATAACAAAAGAAAATAAAATTCCATTTTCAAAAAAAATTAGGCAGATTTATCTTTATATTAACTTACCGAATGATGTGTCATGGATTTTATATTTATCGACCAATAATTTGCGAATTGATGAGTATTCTGAGAGGCGACCAAGTGGCAGAAGGAATGAATCCCAATTTGGATATTTAGCTCTGATTTTATCTCTGATACGTAAGTACCTGGAGTTATCAATTTCTTGATTAAGATCGCTGTGATCTCCAGTCAACCATGCATGCTGTAAGCATTCATGTGCAGTCATACGTTTCCTGTAAAAGTACAAATAATATTAACCACATATACAAATATTGATTTTCCAAAGTGATAAAATATAACTTACTCTTTGTTCTTAACTAATAATCTGCGAATAAAGTCGCGTCCTTCTTCTGATATGTTTGCAAAAGCATTTTGATCGAAGTCCCAATCACATGCTTTCACATTCTTTAATGTTTCTACATCGTTTTCACCAGCAAATGGAGACAATCCGCTCAATCTACAATCATATTTCCATATTAATAAGTAATACCATTCAATATATACTTCAATTTATATTTCTACTTACAAGACATATGCCAAAACTCCCACTGCCCACATATCTGTGTAGAATCCTACTGGTTCCCGCTCGACTATTTCTGGTGCAGCAAATTCAGCAGTTCCAGTAGAAATCTTAACTACTTCATTAGGATCTAATTTAGTAGCCAAACCAAAGTCTATTAATTTAACATTAGTACTATTCCTTGTCTGGCACATAATATTTTCGGGTTTGATATCCAAATGAATGATATTCTTTTCATGCATATGTTTAACACCTTCACAAATTTGTCTCATGTAATTTATGACTTCTGCTTCGGACATACGATAACCGTCAGCGGTGATGCGTTCAAACAATTCACCACCAGATAAGCTGTTACAAGGAAAATATTTAATTATAATTTAGTACTGTATAATTGTTAGTATTTTATTATTACTTACAATTCCAAAATGAGAACCATTTCATCATCATCTTCGAATGCATCATGAAGATTAATCAATTTCTGGTGATGAAGTTGATTCATAATATCGATTTCTTTGCGAATTAAGTCTTTCTCCATCATATGTGATACAGGTATAAATTTGGCCGCAAATATGTTGCCAGTTTTCCTTTCTCGGCATCTATGTACAACTCCAAATGCACCTGTTCCAATTTCTTCAAGAATGTCATAAGCATCGTATACACTGTCTGTGGATATATCAACGGGCTGTGGAACATATTTAGAGTATATGTCGAATACGTATTGGTCGTAATCTTTAATAGGACCATCGGCCTCTCCTCGGATTTTCTTTCCTTTATCATCAACTGTTTGAAATATAAATCATACATCAATGACATACAATATCTACTTTATGATATGCAAAATAAACTATACTTACGTTTGTATTCCTTCTTTTTAATTTTCTTTTTCCCAGAATCTTTAGTTTGAACTAATGTGCTAACTTCTGATGGATCGGAACGTCCATAAATGTTTTCAGCGTATACTCTGAATTCATATTGATGACCAGGAGCTAAACCAGATACTGCCATTGCGTTGAATCTCGTGTTTCCTACACGAATCCAGCTAGTCATAGGATGTTCTCGGCGTTCTACCATGTAATTAGTTATGTTGCTACCGCCATCCCAGATTGGTGCTTTCCAACTCAAAGCCAATGAGTCGACACCAATATTTTCACATAGAGGGAATCGCGGTGGGTCAGGACGATCTATAAAAATGTTTATAGAAATTATAAAAAATTCAAAACGAAATACAAAAGGTAATTTATTTATTACTTACCGCTGATTTGAATCTTGATTATTGCAGTGTCTTGTCCCAATTCATTCTCGGCAGTTATTCTATATGGACCAGTATCGATCTTACTTCCATCACGAATTGTGAGAATTGCATGTCTTTCTTTAACTTCGACATTATAGTGTCCACCAGACTCAATAGTTTCACCTTCTCGAACCCATGTGATCTTCGGTTTAGGATGTCCAGTGAATGGTATTTTAACAATAACATTTTCACCTTTGTCGAAGAAAGCAGTGTCTCTGAACCTTGGCGGGATATTGAGTTTAGGCGCGGCTGTAATTAGGTTTGATTTGAATTTCATTCAATAAAAATAATACATAAAATATATAGGATTTGAATAACTTACTCATAATCAACAACTCAGCTCGAGTCGATTTAACTCCTCCCTTGTTTACAGCACGGCAGACGTACTCATCAGCATCTTCTCCATATACATCCTTAATGGTGAGATTGTATGTGTCTCCATCAGAATAAATGTTGTAACGGGATCCACTAGTAATTTCACGAGCTCCCTTGTACCACGTAATTGTGGGAGTAGGAACACCAGTGATTGTACATGAGAATTGGGCATTATGATATTGAATGCAATTAGCATTTCTGAGTGGTTTAACAATTTCTGGAGGAGTTGCGGCTTTGGGATCTTTAATCTTAACCGAACCTGATGCGGATGATTCCTTGGAAAGTCCGGCTTCGTTTTGGGCAAAAACTCTGAATTCATATTGTCTATCTTCAATTAGATTCGCGCAGTTGATTTGAGTAGCTAAACAAATAGCAACATTAACGCGTTGCCAGGTATTGCTTCCAACTTCACGTTTGTCGATCCAGTATCCTTGAATACGGGCTCCGCCATCAGATTCTGGTTTCTCCCAAGATAAGTTAGCAAAGTCTCCACCAACTTCTGTAACTTTAGGTGTTCCTGGCGGTGACGGTGGATCTGTCGAAATATATTAATATATACATTTCTATGTCACAGAAATAATATGCAAATTTATGTAGTAAACTTACCGAATGGAGCTTTAGCTTTAATAGGATTGGTGTCTTCCAAAGGTGGTCCCATACCGTTATCATTTACTGCCATTACACGGAATAAGTATTCTTGACCTTCCGTGAGACCTTGTACAGTGAATGTAGTATCTTTACAGCTGCTTGTAGCTATTATCCAGTGAGTTAGACTAATGTCTTTTCTTTCAACTACATAGTGAGTAATTCTCAAGCCGCCATCATAACTTGGTGGTTTCCAACTGAGTGTACATGTATGTTTAGATATATCTGAAATTTCTAGAGGACCAGTTGGTGGTCCAGGTAAACCAGTAATGTAAACCGTGAAGTTAGCGGAAACACTTCCGCTATCATTTTTAATTGTGAGAGTGTAAGTTCCAGCATCGTCTTTTGTAATGTCTTTTATAAATATTATCAAGTATTCATCAAACACAGTATATTTAATGTGTGTGGACTCGGAGATTTGACGACCATCCTTTGATAATGTAACTTCCATAGGTTGATCACCAGAATAGAATATTTTGATCTTAGTGTTATCATGTTCAGGCAGGTATAAGTCTCCAGGCATTCTATCGATCCTCGGTGGTGCTGAAATAAAAATTTGCAAGATGTTATTAAGAGTATTTATAATTATATAACATTACTTATGAGTCTATTAATAATACTTACTTCCGATCTTCAGACGAGCAGTGGTATGCACATATCCTTCTGTATTGCTAGCTTCGCAAGTATAGTCACCATCATCTTGTTCCCATACTTCCGATATGTGAAGACGGAATACACCATTAACAGCTTCAGATCTGAATCTAGTGCCCATGACAATTTCTCTTCCATTTTTCAACCAGCGTGGTGTCGGAGGCGGTTTTCCTTTAGCTTCGCATTCTAGCGTATGCGATTTGGCCAATGATACACATTGGTTAGTCAATGGTCGAACAAATTCAGGTTTCTCTCCTCCTTGTACTTCACAAATCTTCACTGGCATAGTGCAGCCGCTAGGATCACTCTTTCCTGCAGCATTAACTGCAAATACTCTGAATTCATAATCACCACGCTCGATCAGATTGATTACTGTGTATTCTGTATCAACAACATTGTAGTCATTGCACTTCAACCATTGTGCTCCTCCAATCTCCCTCTTTTCAATTATGTATCCAGTAATTCGAGAACCACCATCACTTACTGGTGGATCCCATTTCAAGTCCACATAATTTCTACCAACCTTAAGAACCTTTGGAGTTCCTGGAGGTGATGGTACGTTGAATTTACCTTTGAGTTTGAATTTGGAAGATGGTGGTGATGGTTTGCTGAATCCTGCAGCATTCTTAGCACGTACACGGAATTCGTATTCGTGACCTCCTGCTAAATTATATACTTGGTATGTAGTGTCCTTTACAAGGAAGTCGTTCACGTGCCAGTGAGTATCTTCAGCAGGATCTCTGTATTCAATTTTGTATCCTTGAATTCTAGAGCCACCGTCGTGTGTCGGGCGATCCCATGTAATAGTGGCGCTTTCCGCATCCCAATCAATAACTCTTGGCATTCCCGGCGGGTTAGGAACAGTGAAGGGGAATTTAGCTTCAATTGGTTCTTCTTTAGCTAATGGTGCACTTACTCCGTATTGATTTTCGGCACGAACTCTGAAGTAGTACTTCTTATTTGGTTCTAATCCCATTACGTCATAATGGCAGTTACGTACAAAACTGCTAACTTTTACCCATACGCCACTAGCATCCATTTTTTCTACGATGTAGTTGGTAATCGGAGAGCCACCATCATCTAGCGGTGGTTTCCAGGTTAGTGTACAAGTATCTGGAGTAATGTCCGATACATCCAGTGGCCCTTGGGGTGGCAGTGGTTTGTCAACAACCAATACACGGCATGTAGCTGAATCAGATCCCACAGAATTAATTAACTGAATCGTGTAATTTCCAGAGTCTGTACGTTTGGCGCATTTATTAATGTACAGCATGCGATCTGTGCCACAATCAAATTTAATACGATCATCCGAAAGTACTTCTTCGGAGTTGATACTCCAAATGCATTTTGGTTTCGGATTTCCTGTATATGGAACGGTAATTGTGAACTCTTCACCAGCGAACACTGTCATGTCACGAATGCTCAAATCTGATGTTATTTTTGGAGCGCCTATAATTTTTATATATGTTATATATTGTATTATACATAAAATATAATAATATAGTTGTAATTAATAACATACTTGCTGGTGCTCTGCATACAATCATATCAGATGCGGAACTGTAGGGACCTTGTCCAGCGGCATTAAGCGCTGCCACACGGAATTCATATTCGTGATTTTCAATCAAACTTATTACTCTGCGAAATAAACAATCATATGGATAAGAATTATATAATTAATAAAATAAAATAACTATTGTTTACAATCATTACTAACTTATGTGATAGATCCGTTACAAGCGCGTGTGATGCTTTAGTCCATTTATCATCTGATTTCAAACGTTTCTCGATAACATATCCTGTGATAGGAGAACCGCCATCGTGGCGTGGCTTAGTCCATTGAATTGTAATAGAGTCTTCGGTTGTCTCGACTTCTCTTGGAGTTCCAGGTGGTCCTGGAGGATCAAATGGATATCTCGCACGGATTGGATCAACTGTGACGGCTGGATCTGACTGTCCATATTGATTTTCAGCAATGACTCGGAATTCGTATTCTTTTCCAATAGTTAAGTTACGAACACGAACAAATGGAGTAGTAACATAACTACTGACTTTGGACCATGTTGCTGAACGAGCTTCTTTCTTTTCAACAATATAGTTTGTTATGTCAGCTCCACCATTGTCCTTTGGTGGCTGCCAGTAAAGTGTGAGAGAGTCTCCGGCAAATTCATCAGCCCGCAAGTTTTCTGGTTTGCTTGGTCTATCAAGAACACGAACATTAACAGTGGCTGTATCAAAGCCGGATGGATTTTTGAGTTGTAGCCTATATTGTCCACTATCATTTCGTTTACTGTTTTTAACAACTATGCTGGCGAAATCATCACCAAGTTGTTGGAAGACTCGACTATCAGTATCGTCTAAGATAGTATCATTAGCAAACCAAGCTGCTGTAGGTTTAGGGAATCCTACATATGGTACATGAATGCTAAAATCTTCTCCCGCACGCACTGTAATATCGCGAATTCCTCCCAAGTCTATTACAGGTTTATTTGGTTGTTCTTCAATTACAATACCAGCACTTGGTTTACTTGGATCTGACTCACCAACATCATTAATAGCAATAACGCGGAATTGATATTCTTCGCCTTCTTTAAGTTGAGGCACCTATTAAAAAATAATTTTAAAATATAGTACCAAAAAAACATTATTTTATTATTTCTTGAATTATTTGAAACTCACCGTGTATACGGTATCATTAATCGGTGTCGTGTTAACATCTGACCAATCTTTGTCTCCCTTCGCTTTCTTTTGAAGGTTGTATCCTTTAATCTTGGATTTGCCATCATTGCGTGGTGGCCTCCAGGATAATGTGACACTGTCTTTAGTAATTCTATCTGGTTTAGGCGGTTCTGGAGCATCTGGCTTGACTGTGAAAATTAAATTATATTATTATTGTAAATTTGATAATGGATTCAAGATTTGTTAACTAAATAAAGTATTTTCTTACATTTCTGTGCTTGTGCTGTTATTGGTTCAGTGGGTTTGCTTGGTTTTCCAGGCCCAGCTTCATTTACAGCAATCACGCGGAACTCGTAGCGAGATCCTTCTCTAAGATCTTGTGCAGTAAATGATGTATTAGGTGTGGGATAATTATTAACCTTAATCCATTCACCTCCGCGCTCTCTCTTTTCAACATAATAGCCTGTGATTGGTTTTCCACCGGTATTTGTTGGTGGTTCCCATTCCAAACTGCATGAGTTTGGTGTGTATCCTGTGACAGTTGGTTGACTAGGAGCATCTGGAGGATCGTATGGGCTTTTAGCAACTACAGGTTTACCATCAAGTGGTTCAGATACACCATAAATATTTTCAGCACGAACTCTGAATACATATTTTTTGCCTTCTGTTAAACCTCTAACAGTAAAGGCGCATTTAGGACAGAAACCAGGAACTTGTCTCCAACTATCTGTTCCAAATTCACTCATTTCAACAATGTATCCTGTTAGTTCGCCACCACCATCGTCTGCAGGTGGATTCCATGATAATGATACTGTGTCTTGAGTTGTACCAGTGTAGGTGAGTGGACCCTTAGGCATTCCTGGTTTGTCTACAACTATTACTTCAATATCAGCAGAGTCTTGTCCATGTTCGTTCTTCGCTAAAATTGTGTAATTTCCAGAGTCCTTTCTAGTAGACGACTCCACCATCATCTTAGTATTTTCGCTTGTTGTTTTTGTCTGTTTGTTCATATTAAAATAATTATATTTAAAGTAATTAAGTATTATATATATACATATATATATATATATATATATATATATATATATAATATATTTATATAACCAACTTACAAATATTCTGTAGGAATCTGCTAGTTTAGTGCCATCCTTTGACCATTCAATAGTTGGAATTGGAGCTCCAGAAATTGGTATGTCTATATTGATGGGCTCTCCAGCACGTACTTTGATCTTGCGACCAATCAATCCATCCAACCAAAGTTTTGGTTTTTCTAATGTGATAATAAAATAATTTTATAAACATATATATATAAGTGTGTGTGTATTTAAGTATTTGTTTGTGCATGCATTTACGTATGTTTATAAACTTTTATATTTTTACCTCTCATTGGTTTTGCAGCGAAGGTGTTTGATGTCTCACTTGGTTTGCCAGGACCAGCTGCATTTACTGCAGAAATACGATATTCATATTCATGTCCCGCTTGTACTCTATCGTCCACATATTCTTGTTGCTGCGGAAAAAAAGAGAGAAGTAAGTTCACTGATGAATGGCAATATGATGTAAATGAAATAAATCATACTCTGCATGGTTCTTTGTTTAATTGTATCCAACGGCCAGTAGCTTTGTCTCTGCGTTCAACATTATATCCCAAAATAGGTGATCCTCCATTACTAATTGGAGGTGACCATTTAATAGTAATATGATCTTTGTCACTTTCAACAAGCTCCGGTTTACCAGGACGTCCAGGCACATCTAAAAAATTTGAAAATTAGCTTAATGGCAATATCAGTTTTGTCAACATTGTACAATAAAGTATCCTTTATCATTTACCATATTGGTTCTTGGCAACAACAGGTTTCTCGCAGTCTAATGGATCTGAGCGGCCTTGCAAATTTTCAGCACAAACGCGGAATTCATATTTTGTGCCTTCTAGTAACCTGGGTACTACTGCATGGTTGTACTTGGGATTAACATGTGTTAAAGCTGGTACCCAACCACCACCATGTGTCAAATCACGTTTCTCAATCATGTATCCACTGTAAAATACGATTTTAATTAATAACCGGGCTACTTCCTGACTTAATTGAATTAATTTTAAACATACGTTATTTCACTGCCTCCATTATCCTTTGGTGGTTTCCATGAAAGTGTGACACTTTGTGCAGTGACTTCTTCGTATTCTAGAGGGCCTTGAGGAGGTCCTGGGCGATCTATATGAATTTTATTTAATTAGAAAATATTTTCTTGTAGCTATGGTTTAGTCTATATTGGATATTAATTATACCTAGGACTATGATTTGGAATGAACCCTCGTCAATACCAGAACTATTCCTTAGGAGTAAATGGTATAAGCCACCATCTGACCTCTTGGCATTTACAGTATGCACAATAGTATGGTAACCTATAGATGTGATAGTTGTTCTATCATCTATAGTTATAGGTTTAGTTTCCTTTGTCCAAATAACTTCAGGTGCTGGTTCTCCAATGAAGTCTATATCGCAATGTAGTATGAGACCAGCCTTAATGCGGATATCCTTGAGTGGAGTGACGATCTTAGGCGCAACTATAAAATCGAATGATTTAAAATTGTATATTTCAACTCATGGGCAATACACGTGGCTTAGTAACATTATTTAACTTACGATATCTTGCTTTAGCAGTAACCATATCTGATGGTTCACTAGGTTCACTTTGGCCTGCAGTATTCTTGGCAATTACACGGAATTCATATTCTTGTCCTTCTACAAGATCTGGAACCGTAGCCTGAAACATAACAATTAATAATAATAGATATTATTTTTGCACAAATTCAATATTTATAATTTATTCTGTTTAATCAAATTATTGTCATACGCTTGTTTTGTCTGCTGGGACATTAGCGGCGTTTATCCAGTATGGACTATCTTTCTCCTTCTTCTGAATAATATATCCGGTAATTGGAGATCCACCATCAGATTTTGGTGGTTTCCATTCGAGATCCACATGATCCTTATCCCAGTCAGTAACAGCTGGTTTACCAGGAGCATCGGGTTCATCTAAAATTATTGTTCAATATAAAATCGTTTTGAATATATAATATTAAGTACAGATAGTAATATATTAATACAATACCGAATTGGTTCTTGGCAATTATACTCTTTTCTGTCTCTAATGGTTCTGATTCTCCAATTGCATTAACAGCTTTTACGCGGAACAAATATTCCTTTTTATGTATGAGACGAGTTACTTCGTGATTAAGTGAGGTTGACATTCCTGCATCAGACCATGTTCCACGTGTCATATCCATTTTTTCAATAACGTAATGCAAAATAGGAGAGCCTCCATCATCCTTAGGCGTTCTCCAACTTAATCTGCAACCTTCTTTAGTGACTCCACTTACATCTAATGGACCCTCTGGTTTGGAAGGTTTGTCTGAAAATTTATGAAAAGGTTATAGAAACTTTCTAATATTAATTGAATGAATCATATAAAAGATATACCTAGAACTGTCACATTAGCTGAAGCTGAACATTGTCCGAGATTATTTACCAATGTGAGAGTATATTTTCCAGTATCGGAACGTACAGAGAATGGAATATCAAATGTAATCTTATTGTTGAATACTTGGAAATCTACTCGGTTGTCGGGCTCCAGATTTTTGCCGTTTACGCTCCACTTGGCGGTCGGTTTTGGTGAAGCTTCAATTGGTATATTATAGCTAATTCTTTGACCAGCCTTAACAGTGATATCATGCAATAATGTTTTGTCAAACACAGGTGCTTCTGTAAATGAACAAAATTATAAATAAACTAAAATATTTGTGTTTAAAATAATATACGTACGGAATCTAGGTTTAGCCACAATAGGTAATGATGCTTCACTAGGTTCTCCTGGTCCTCCTTTATTTACGGCTATTACACGGAATTCATATTCTTCACCTTCTGTAAGGTTTGGTACAGTGGCAGCAGTTTTATCGCCAGGTACCTCTGCAGCTTTCTCCCATGAGCCATATTTTGGTCGTTTTTCGATGATGTATCCTGTAATAGGTGACCCTCCATCCTTCTTTGGTGGAGTCCATTCCAAGTCCACATGATCTTTATCCCAATCTGTTGCTTGTGGTGCACCCGGCTTATCTGGTTTGCCGAATGGATCCTTGGCGGTTATAGTTTGTTGTCCAGTCAGAGGTGCTGATTCCCCTTGTTTATTAACAGCTTTAACACGGAAATTGTAATCATGTCCTTCAATTAGATTGTCTGTGCGGAATGATGTTGCAGCAGTTTCTCCAATAGGTACCCATCGCATGTTTTCTGTGTCAAGTTTTTCGACAACATAGTGCGATATGTCTGATCCACCGTCATCCTTTGGTGGTCTCCAGCTCACTGTTGCACCACTCTTAGTTATGTTATCGACTCTTAATGGACCCTCTGGTGGTAGTGGTATGTCCAATACAGTAACTGTTAATGTTGCTGTATCAACTCCATTGATATTCTTTGCTGTCAATGTGTAGACACCGCTATCGGATCGTTTAGCGTCTGTTACACGAAGTTTGGTACTGTATGATTCATTAACAATTTTGACGCAGTCACTATTTACTACCATATTGTCTTTTAGTGTCCATTGTTTGGTCGGTGGAGGTTCACCAATGACAGGAACGTCAAATTCGAATGTCTGACCTGCTCGTACTTTAATATCGCGCATAGCATTGCGGTCAATCTTAGGAGCCACTTTAATAATAAATAATTCAATTAATATAAATCTTATAAAAATAGGGTATTCGTGTGTACTTACGATTTTTGGGTCTAGCGACATGGGACTGAGATGCATCGCTTGGTTCACCAGGTCCAGCTTTATTCACAGCTCGAACACGGAATTCATACTGATTTCCTTCAATTAAGTTTGGAACTTTACCGCTTGTTTTGTCGCCTTCGACTTCTGCACATTTCTCCCAATTTGGATTGAATTTATCTTTCTTTTCTATTATATAGCCAGTTATTGGTGAACCACCATCGCTTTCGGGTCGCTTCCACTCTAGTTCTACAAAGTCCTTATCATAATCCGTAATTGCGGGTGTTCCTGGCTTTGTTGGTTCATCTAAATTAAATATGAATATATAAACAGATGTACATGTATATATCATTCAAATAATAAATAATACTTATGCAGAGAAATAAATAAAATACTAACCAAATGGATTCTTGGCTTCGATTGCTTGACTTGTGGTCAATGGTTCAGACTTTCCTTGTTTATTTACAGCTCTTACTCTAAATTTATATTTGTGTCCAGGTGTTAAATCATCTATGGCTAAAGAAGTTTCTGGGCCATCAGTTTCTCCAGCAGGAACCCAGCGTCCTGTGGCTTCATCCATTTTTTCAACCACATATTTCTCAACAGGTTGCCCACCATCGTCTGCTGGTGGGTTCCAGTTAAGTTTGCAACCATCAGCATGAACGTCTGATACTTTGAGTGGGCCACTTGGGGGACTAGGCTTATCAAGAACGGTTACTTCTACATATGCTATATCTTTGCCATTCACATTTTCAGCCGTAATTGTATATTTGCCGGATTCTGATCGAGTAGCATTACGGACACTTATTTTTGTATTATATTCTTGATGTTGCACCTTGATTCTATCTGACGATTTCATTTCTTGTTTACCTAATAACCATTTTGTTTCTGGTGCAGGTTCACCAGTTACTTTAACATCAAATGCAAAGTTTTGACCGGCCTTAATCTTGATATCAATCAGATTTGTACGATCTATCTTAGGTGCCAAATTTCTAGGTTTGGCTATTATTGTTGGAGTGGCATCACTTGGGTCTCCAGGACCAGCAGCGTTTACGGCTCGTACTCTAAATTCGTAACCTTGACCTTCAATTAGGTCTGGAACGGTTGCGGTAGTTTTGTGTGCAGGAACTTCAACAGCCTTTTCCCATTGACCAAATTTATCTTTCTTTTCGACAATGTAACCTGTGATTGGAGATCCACCATCTTCTTTTGGAGGAGTCCATTTCAAATCAACGTGATCCTTATCCCAATCTGTTGCTTGCAAATTTCCAGGTGCTCCAGGTTCATCAAATGGATTCTTAGCCACAATTGTTTCTTCAGCAACTAATGGTTCGGATTCTCCTTCTGAATTTACTGCAGCGACTCTAAATTTATATTCTTTTCCTGGTGTAAGGCCAGTAACTTCCATATCTGAAATTAAAATTAGTATAATAAAATAAGAATAACATAAAATATACTTCACTTTAATGTTCATTATTTTTACTTGGTTCATTAGAACGTCCACATGGTATCCAGCAGCCGCTTTCAGGATCCATTTTTTCAACTTGATAGTATTCAATTGGAGTACCACCATCATCACGAGGACGCTTCCACTTGAGTTTGCATCCTTCTTTATGAATGTCTGATATTTGAAGAGGTCCTTCAGGCGATGTTGGCTTATCAGTAACTGTCACTGTTACAGTGACGGTGTCTTTACCGGAACTGTTCGATGCTGTAACTGTATATTCACCAGAATCAGCTCGACACGTTGGTCTGATAACAAGCTTAGTGTTATAGTCCACATTATCAATTTGTAGAGTCTTGCCAGATTTCAATGGCATGGAACCATAACGCCATTCAACGGTTGGTGGTGGTTCACCAATAATGTTGACATCATATTTAAGTGTGGTACCAGCAGATAATGTGACATCACGCAAATTGCGACGATCGATACGTGGAGCAACTATAAAAATTTAGAAAATTACGTTTGTAATTATAATTACTTAAAAAAATACAATTACAAAATACTTACGGAAGCGAGGCTTGGCAGTGAAAGTCTTGCTGGCATCGGATGGATCACTCTGACCAGCTTTGTTGACAGCAATTACTCTAAATTGATATTCATTTCCTTCTATAAGGCCATTAACAACAGCGATTGGTGTTGCAGTATTTGTTTCCAATGCCTTTTCCCACATAGGACTATATTTATCTTTCTTTTCAATTATATAACCGGTTATAGGCGATCCTCCATCTGATGCAGGTTCTTTCCAGATAAGTTCTACATGACTTGCAGACCAATCTGAAGGTTCTGGTACTCCAGGAGTGGATGGAATAGCTAAAATATACATATAAAATGAAAAAAATGTATATGATGGTAAATAATGGTATAGAAATGTCTTGAACATAATACAATAAAACTTACTGAATGGATCTTTGGCAACAATTGATCCCAAAGTTTCAAGTGGTTCAGATTCACCCTCTTTATTCAAAGCTTTGACACGGAATTTGTATTCGTGACCAGGCGTTAATCCATCTACATTCATTTCCGGCGTAGGGCCATTTGTTTTACCCACTGGAAGCCATATTCCAGTATCTGGGTCGAACTTCTCAACGACATATGCTTCAATTGGCTCTCCGCCGTCGTCTTTTGGTTTTTTCCATTTCAAAGTGCAGCCATCTTTGTGAATGTCTGAGACTTCCAATGGTCCTTCAGGTTTGCCAGGTTTAGCTATAAAACATTTTAATATAAGACAGAGTATAGAAAATAATTAAAATATATTTTTCAATCACTTACTTATAACTTCAATTTCCACTTCAACGAAGTCAGAACCATATTTGTTCACAGCAGTAATCTTATAAACACCAGTATCTCTTCTTTCGGGATTATCGTTATAGAACTTGGAATTGTATGGCACATTTTCCACTCGAAGTGCAGCGGTTTGAGGTAGAGTTTTATCGTTTAATGTCCATGTTACATCAGGCGCAGGTTCTCCAGTAATTTTAACATCAAAGAATATGGGCTCACCTTCTTTTACAGTTACATTACGCAAGTTCTTTCTGTCAATCTTAGGCGCCACTAAAATATATGTATTATAATGAATAATATATCTAGTGTATATATTTTATATTAATACTATACTATTTTTTACTAGGAATAAAATGTTATATTTACATTTTCTTGGTTTGGCAACAACAGGTTTACTGGCCATACTAGGTTCTCCAGGTCCAGCAGCATTAACGGCTTTAACTCTGAACTCATATTCTTTGCCTTCTTCCAAATTTTCTGCAGTTCCTTTGCAATCATCTGGACCTGCCTCACCTGCTTTGGTCCAACGGCCAGTGCCCTTTTCACGTTTTTCAATAATATATCCTGTGATTGGAGACCCACCATCCTTGACTGGTGGGGTCCATCTGAGATCAACATGATCCTTATCCCAATCTGTAGGTTCTGGTGTTCCAGGTGCGCCAGGTTCGTCTAGAAAAATGATGATTATATAAATACATATATTTGTGTGTGTATGTGTGTATATATATATATATATATATATATATATTTATATATATATATATATATATATATATATATATATATACGTGTGTGTGTGCATATATGCACTATACTAACCAAATGGATTCTTGGCGACAATAGACTTATCAGCTTCCAGAGGTTCTGATTCACCTTCGGCGTTAACAGCCATTACTCTAAATTTATACTCTTGTCCCGGCTCCAGATTTGATAACTCTAACTTAGGTTCTTTACTTCTGCCTGCTGGTACCCATCTTCCTGTTTCGGTATCCATTTTTTCCACTGCATAATATTCTATTGGCACACCACCATCGTCTTCAGGAGGATTCCATTTAAGTGTACATCCTTCTTTGTGCACGTCACTAATCTTAAGCGGACCTTCTGGTTTACCAGGTTTATCCAAAACCTTAATCTCTATTGTAGCTTCATCTTTTCCAGAGGTATTTTCAGCTTTAATAACTAATTTTCCTGTATGTTCTCTCTTCACATTAGAAATAACAATTTTAGTTCTATAGTCCTCCACATCAATGCTAATATCGTCCTTGCTCTCAAGTCTAGCTTTATTCAAGAACCATGTCTTAGATGGTGGAGGTTCACCACTAATTTTAACATCCAACCTGATGACCTGACCAGCTTTGACTGTAAAGTCCTTGATTGTACTGCGATCAATTTTCGGTGCAGCTGCGGAAATAGAAAATAATTAAAAAACAATATTATATAATCATGATAAAAATTGCATACTTACCAAATCTATCTTTGCAACTAGAGTTTCTGAAGGTGGTGATGGTTTACTTTGACCACCTTTGTTTACAGCTTTTACTCTAAATTGATATTTTTTGCCTTCAATCAAATCTGGAACTTTAGCTTCACATTTATTTCCAGGAACTTCAGCGCATTTAACCCATTTATTGCTAAAGTCATCTTTCTTCTCAACAATGTAACCTGTAATTTCTGCACCACCATCATCTTTAGGCGGTGTCCATTTGAGATCGGCGTGATTGCGGCTCCAATCCTTGAGTTCTGGTTTTCCGGGTGCATCAGGTTCTCCGTATGGATTCTTAGCTGTGGTCGGTGTTTCTGTTTCTAGTGGCTCAGATTCACCTTCAGCATTTACAGCTTTGACGCGGAATTGGTAGTCTTTTCCTTCATTCAAACCTGTTACATCAGCTTCTGGAGTCTTGGATGTTGTCACTGGTATCCAACGACCAGTTTCAGTGTCCATACGTTCTACAACGTAGTGATCGACAGGCTCTCCGCCATCATCTTCGGGTTTATCCCATTTCAATTTGCATCCTTCAGCAGTTACATCAGATACCTTAAGTGGTCCTTTAGGTTTAGATGGTTTACTGAGGACTTGTACCTCGACTTCAACGCTGTCAACTCCAGAATCATTCTTTGCAGTAACTATATATGTGCCAGTGTCTGATCGCTTCATCTTTTGCATAATGAAACATGTTTTGTAATCTTCATTTTCAATTTTCAAGCGATCATGAGTTTTTAAAACTTGATCTTTAAGAGTCCAAGTTACAGTGGGCGCAGGCTCACCTTTGACATCAGCTTCCATGCGCAACATTTGACCTGTGCGTACAACTTTTTTCTGTAAATTCTTTCTATCAATATGAGGAGCTAAGAATCTAGGCTTGGCAACAACTGATTTAGAAGGATCTGAAGGTTCGCTAGGTCCTGCTTTATTTACAGCAACAATACGGAATTCATATTCATGACCTTCTTCAACGTTAGTAACTTTACCAGTTGTTCTATCTCCTGGTGTTGTACAAGCATCAACCCAGCCTCTTCCTGCCTTATCTCGCATTTGGATAATGTATTTTTCAATTGGTGCTCCTCCATCTGATTTTGGTGGAGTCCAAGCAAGATCCACAAAGTCTTTATCCCAGTCTTTAAGTTCAGGACGTCCGGGTTTACCAGGTTCATCTGATAATTCAAATATCAAATTAATATATGCAAGAAATCAAATTAAAATGAGGTTTTCATTACTGTACTTACCAAATGGATTTTTAGCGATAATGGAACCTTCTGTTTCCAAATCATCAGATTCACCCTCTTTATTAACAGCCCTAACTCTGAACTTATATGGTTTTCCTTCTTGCAAGCCTGTGATATTTGCTTCTGGTTCTGTGCTTTTGCCACACGGAATCCATTGACCAGTAAGTGGATCAAGTTTTTCAATTTCATAGAAATCAACAGGAACTCCACCATCATCCTCTGGTTTTTTCCATTTTAATTTGCAACCATTCTTAGTAACATCCGATACTTCGAGTGGCCCTTTTGGTTTAGATGGCTTGCCAATTACAGTTATTTCTACTTCTGCTGTATCTTCTCCTTGACTGTTCTTAGCTTTAATAACATATTTTCCGCTTTGAGCTCTCTTAGCACGCATAATAAAGAATTTAGTATTGTAGTCAATATTATCTATACGAATTTGCTCATCTGATTGCAGTTCTTTTTCCTTGAAGTACCAAGTGACAACAGGTGCTGGTTCACCGATGATATTAATATCTAGAGAAACAGCGAGACCAGTTTTCACAGTCAAGTTTTGTAGATTTGTACGATCAATATGTGGTTTCAAGAATCTTGGTTTAGCTGTGTGCCAGTTCGTTTCTTCTGATGGTTCTGATGGACCTGCTTTATTCACTGCTTTTACTCTAAATTTATATTGGTTGCCTTCTTCAAGTTTAGGAACAGTTGCAGTGCAGTTTGGCCCTGTAGTCTCTACAGCTTTTGTAAATGTACTTCCAAATTTATCCATAAATTCAACAATGTATCCAGTAATTGGAGCACCTCCATCTCTGATTGGTTTCTCCCATTTCAGCTTGACACTATTCTCATCCCAATCTACAATTTCAGGTAGACCAGGTGCAGCAGGAGGGTCAAATGGATTTTTGGCAGTAATGGCAGTGTCCGTATCCAAAGGTTCAGATTCACCTTCTTCGTTAACAGCCTTGACTCTAAATTCATATTTATGATTAGGTTCTAAACCTGTAATTTCTTGGATAGTTTTGTCTGGGTCAACAAATCCTGCTGGTACCCAACGTCCTGTAGCAGTATCCATTTTTTCAATTGCATACCCAGTAATAGGCAAACCTCCATCGTCTTTTGGTTTGCTCCACTTAATTGTACATCCTTCCTTATGAACACCACTAACTTCGAGAGGTCCTTCTGGTTTACCAGGTTTGTCTATTTATATAGAACATAATTAATAAGTGCCATAATTTATATACCATTTAATATTTAATCACATATCTTATAACCAAATTACCTAGAACTATTACTTCCACAGGAGCTTCATCAAAACCAGAAGAATTTTCAGCTCTCAACTTGTAAGTGCCTGTATTGGCACGAGTAGTGTTTGAGATGGTAATTTTAGTGTTATATTCCTCATTTTCGATTTTACAATTGTTGGTATTTTCTAAAGTCTTTAGACCAACAGACCAAGTATATGTCGGTGGCGGTTCACCACGTACATCAACATCAAACTTAACGAATTGACCAGCACGTACTTTGACAGTTTGAAGTTTTTCACGATTAATAAATGGTTTCACTACAATGAAATGTAACAAATAATTATATAATGATTTACAAATAATATTAACTTAGTGTGGCATGTAATTTTACTTACAGAATCGGGCCTTTGCAACATGGGGTTTAGTTGAATCACTAGGTTCTCCAGGTCCAGCTTTGTTCACAGCTCGAACTCTGAATTGATATGTGTTACCTTCTTTCAGACCGGTTACTATTGCGTTAGGCTCAGAGCTCTACAAAAATATTTAAATGTAGTACATATATATATATATATATATATATATATATATATATATATATATATACTATATATATATATATATATATATATATATATATATATATATATATATATATATATATATATATATATATATATGGGAAAAATATACATACATTAGAAGTGTGGATTTCGTCCCATGATTTTGAAAACTTCTCTTTCTTTTCAATAATATAACCAGTAATTGGAGCTCCTCCATTGTTCTTTGGCGGCTCCCATTTAAGTTCCACCCTATCCACATCCCAATTTTCAATCTCAGGTGTTCCTGGTTTACCAGGGACATCTAAAACGCACACACTTCATTATAGAACAGTTTACATTATAAATATAAATATTTTAGAATTAATTGTACCGAAAGGATTTTTAGCAGTAATAGATTTATCAGTTTCCAGAGGTTCTGATTCTCCCTCATCATTAACAGCTTTTACTCTGAATTTGTAGTCATGGCCTTCAATTAAACCTTTAACATCCATCTCAGGTTCTGTAGATTTTCCAACTGGAACCCATCGACCAGTAGCTTTATCAAGTTTTTCAAGTACGTATCCTGTGATGGGTTTGCCTCCATCATCTTCAGGTTTCTCCCATTTAACTTTGCATCCATTTTTAGTAACATCGGTTACCTTTAATGGTCCTTTAGGTTTGGATGGTGCAGCTGTTATCAGAGAAAATGTTATACATATTTACACATATATATAAAGAGCATGTATTCCATTGAAAACACTTACACAGAACTGTTACTTCTACTTCTGCTTCATCTTCACCATGTTGATTTACCGCCTTGATTTTGTAAACACCTGTATTTTTTCGAACTGTATCATTGATTGAGAATTTAGTATTGTAATCTACGTTTATGATTTCAATGTTTCCTTCAGATTTGACTTCAGTTGTACCATGATACCAGGTGATAGTTGGTGCTGGTTCGCCTTTAACATTGACGTCGTATTTAATAGGTTTACCCGCTTTGACGATGATCGGCTTCAAATTTGTGCGGTCGATTCTTGGCTTTACTATAAATAAAATTAAAAATTAATCTTGAACATATAAATTTACCTATTTTAGTATTAACTATTTAATTTTAAACTTACATGACTTAAATCGCACAACTTGCATTTTCGATGGGTCAGAAGCTGGAGATGGACCAGCTTTATTTACAGCAATAATACGGAATTGCCATTCAGATCCTTCTTTCAAATCTTCAACTTTACCAGTCAGCTGATCTCCAGGTACCTCACAAGCTTTCTCCCAATCTGGTTTAAATTTGTTTTTCTTCTCTATGATGTATTTTTCAATTGGTGCACCGCCATCACTGTCTGGCGGAGCCCATTTCAGTTCCACACTCTTATTATCATGATCAGCAATCTCTGGTGGCTTTGGTTTCGTTGGTTCATCTATAAAAATAGTTGTATATGAAATATATGAATTTATATTCGAATAAATTTAAATGCACTTTTTATTTAAATAGTTTCTCTTACCATAAGGATTCTTGGCAACAATTCCTTTTACGGTTTCTAATGGTTCAGAATCGCCTTCATCGTTAACAGCAGTTACACGGAATTTATATTCAGCACCAGGGGTCAAACCAGTAACTTCCATTTCTGGATTTGCTTTATCGCCAGGAACTCGGCCAACCCTGACCCATTTACCTGTAGCAAGATCCATCTTTTCAACTTCGTATTCCTTGATAGGACAGCCGCCATCGTCTTCTGGTTTTTGCCAACCCAATTTGCAACCATTAGCAGTAACTTGTGTAACTTCCAATGGTCCTTTTGGAGGACTTGGTTTGCCGAGAACTGTCAATTCGACGGTCTCGGTATCAATACCAGAAGCATTTTGTGCTTTCAATGTGTATCTTCCGGTATCTCTACGCGTTGTATTAAGAATGCTGAAATCGGTATGATAGTCAATATTTTCGATTTTTATTCTGTCACTATTGACTAGTGGTATATCATCCCGCCAGATCCAGCTCAAAGTCGGTGGAGGTTCACCAGTCACATCTACAGCCCATTTGTGTGTGCGTCCAGATTTAATAATAACGCTCTTAAATGTAGAACGATCAATTCTTGGTTTCACTGAAAATAATAAAATAATGAAATCCAATGTTTAATAAATTATTATAGTAAACAGTAAATTTTTACTTACAATTCTTATGTTTGCACAAGTGATTATCAGTTTCATCTGATGGTTCACCAACACCTGCCTTATTGTGAGCACGTACACGGAATTGATAAACCATTTTCTCTTTAAGACCTTCTACTTTAGCTTCGCATGTAGCATCTGTTGTTTTCATTACTTCCTCCCAAGCAGGAGAGAATTTATCCTTCATTTCGATAGTATAGTGTGTAATAGGACGGCCACCATCACTTTCTGGTTTAGCCCATTTGAGTGATACACTTTTATTGTCGTAATCAAATATGTCAGGTTTGCCAGGTTTGCCGGGCTCATCTAAAATTTCAAATAAACATTTTGGTATAGAAACAAATGTAAATAAATAAAGAATGGTAAATGAACTTACCATATGGGTTTTTAGCAACAATTGCATCTGTTGTTTCTAATGGATCAGATTCTCCTTCTTTATTAACAGCTTTTACTCTGAATTTGTATTTTTTATTTGGTGTCAATCCAGTAACTGTGAAGTTATCTTTATCGGGTCCAACTTCTCCAGCTGGTACCCATCTTCCAGTATCCAAATCCATCTTTTCCAAAACATATCCAGTGATATCTGAACCACCAAAATCGTCAGGTTTCTTCCATTTCACGGTTGCATGTGTTGCTCTCACTTCATCTACTACCAATGGGCCCTTTGGCGGTGTAGGGCGATCTACAAATTAAATATAATTTATAATACGATTACGAATTAAATATATTTTAATAGTTTTATTCTGTTTACCTAATACAACTACATCGGCTATAGATTCACATACGCCTGAACTGTTTTTGAGGTGTAGTTTATACTTTCCACTGTCTGGCCTCAAAGTTCTTCTCACTGTTAATACTGTATTACGTTCATATTTATCAATAGTAGTTCTGCAAATTTGAAAAAGAATTTATTAGTATATACACTATAATTTATATAGTAATATATAGTTTTAGAATATAACCTTTGTTCTTTATCTTCATAAAGTTCAGTAGTATCTCTAAACCATGTGACTTCTGGTTCCGGTTCACCACCATACTTAATATCATATTTGATAACTTGCCCTTTTTTCACGACCAAATTTGTAAGGCCATCTCCAACAATATATGGTTTTACTAAAATACATTTATTCATTAGTATAAAATATTTTTTATCACAGATTTGGGAATGTATAGAGAATATAAAATACCGAAGCGACATTTAGCAATAATTGGTTTTGTGGCATCACTAGGTTCTCCAGGTCCAGCTTTATTAACTGCTCTGATTCTGAATTCGTATTGAGTGCCTTCTTTCAAACCATCGACTGTTGCAGCAGTGAGGTCTGCAGGTACTTCTTTTCCAGTTACCCAATCTTTACCGAATTTTTCCTATCACAGAGATTCAAATTAAATAAGCACCATCTAAAATTATTTTGTTCATAAATTACCTTGTATTCAATAATATAGCCAGTAATTGGTGCACCACCATCATTCTCTGGCTTATTCCATTTAAGATCGGCATGGTCTTTGTCCCAATCAACAACTTCCACACCAGTGGGTTTACCAGGTTCATCTGTTTTCAATAATAATAACGTAAATTTGAAGCACTATTTAGCATGCATGGATTATATAATATTTACCCCAAGGATCCTTAGCCAAAACAGGTTTTCCAAAGAGAGCAGGTTCACTAGAACCCAATTTATTGACAGCTCTAATTCTAAATTTATATTGTTTCTTAGCAATGAGATCTTCACATTTGTATACAGTTGGTAAGCCAAGTTTAACTTCTGCGACGTTATCCCAACCAGCCTTGAGACTCAAGTCTTGTCGCTCAATAACATAATGTACAATTGGAGCACCGCCATCGTCTTGTGATGGTTTCCATTCCACAACACAAGAGTTTTGGAATATTTCTTTAACTTCCACATCGCGAGGTGGAGTTGGAACGTCTTGCATGTTGATCCTAACTTTCTTAACATCTTCGCCTTGACCATTGGATAATTTAATTTCATATGGTCCAGACTGATCTCTACTTGGTTTTTTAATTTTGAATGTAATCTTATCTTCACCGACTATTACTTCTACATCCTTAATAGGCATTGGCTTGCCATCCTTAATAAGTTTAGCTTCAATGGGAGTCTGTTTAGTTCCATCAACTGCAATTAAAAAACAAGTTAACATTTACTTATCTTAAATATAGATAAAAGTGTATAAATAGCTGACTTTTGAATGGCACTTCAAACACAATAGGTTTGCTGCATGGTGCATCGAGTTCAGATGGGAAATCGATCATTGGTTTACTTTCTCCCTTGTGAACTGTTAGTTGACAAGACGAACTGAGTTGTCCAGATTCGCATGTAATTTCACCATTGTCGACCATTTCTAGATTATTGAAAACTAGTTGATGTTTACCACCTCCCAAGTTCTTGATTTCAACACGTTCAGAAGGAACAATGGGTTCTCCATTGAATTTCCAATCTGCGGGTGCTGTTTGATCTTGTAACTCAATGTCGAGAACAAGACGTTCTCTTTCAATAGCCACTGTATCCTTCAACTTTTTGTTGAAACGGTTTTGATCTACAGAATAAATAGAATTAATAGATATTGTTCAGATATTATTTGTAATTTATAAACAAAATAATTTACAATTGATGATGATTTCAGCTTCCGTTTTATCAGCATTGCTGACACATGAATATTGTCCTGCATCTGTGACTTTGGAATCTTTAATAACAAGTTTGCGTTTGCGACCATCTTTAACAATGGTAACGCGTTTATCAGGTTTAACTTCTTCTTTACCCTTATACCATTTTACTTCTCCTGCAGCATCATCCAACTCACAATGCAAGGTGACTGTTTCTTTTTCAATCAGTTGTTGTGATTTCAATACTTTCACGAATTTATATGGATATTCTGAAACGTACGGAAAAATATATTATTGACTTATATTTATATCTTTCTGACAATGAGCATAAATTGGAATTTGATTAATACCAATAATTGTGACAGTGGTTTCGGTTTTATCCTCTTGCTTTTCAATTCTGCAAGTATATTGGCCGCTGTCTTCGAGTTCGCCACTTAAAATTGTCAATTTGCATGCACCAGATAAATCTTTACTGATGGAGTATTTTTTACCATCTTCCAGCTTCGTGGTACCTTTATACCATCCTACAATGGCCATACCATTGCTGACAGCGCATTCCAGAATAGTTTCGTGTAATGTAAAACCATCGATTTTCTTTTTCAATGGTTTGGTAAATGTGTAAACCGGATCGGGTTCTGTAAGGCAACAATCATATGAAATTGATATTGCATTTCATTATTTTTGTAAGACTGGTTTGATTAGTTACCTTCGACAGTAAGGAACGCAGTGCAACTAATGCCTCCGATTTCAATAGTGTATTTACCGGTATCTTCCACTTTTGGATTAACAATAATAAGTTGATAAGAATCTTTCTCGTTCTTAAATTTATACTTGGAACCCGCGAATAATTCCTAATATAAATAAATTGAGGTTAATTTCACATGAGTCAAAATAATTTGATGCGACTAGTATTTACTTACATCTTTGCGGAAGAACCACTTTGGTTTGCAATTTTCTTTGGTGAAGTTTGCATCAAATACTACCTTTTTATCCTTTCCTTCCTTTGCAAACTTATCTACCAATGGTTTCAAGAATGTTTCTTGTTTCTAATAATAATAAAGTAAATTAAAATATTTATAACAATCAGATTTTGTAACATATATTAACCTTAAATATTATATTTTATATTACTATCGATTACTATCATTCAAGAAATATATAATGGTGTATTGATTGCAGAAAAACAAAAATCACAACATACGGTACAACATAAATATTACACGTGTGAAAAAAACGAAATATTTTTTTATAAATCTATGAAATACATTACATGCAGGAAACATAAACATGAACATTCACATACATATAATAGACATAACAAACATTAAACATCTAAAGTAGAAAGTTGACGCAGAACTCAGACAGCTTGTCTAAAAAATTTTCAAAAATGACAAAAATCGCCTGCAAAAATATAATGATAAAAAATAACATTATATATAAAAACAAAAACAAAAATTTGTTTTTTTCTGGGCTCCAAAATTTTCTGAAAAAATATTCAAAAATCAAATATTAAAAATATACATTTGTCAAAAACAAAAATCAAATAATCCGCTTTTACAATTACAGCATTCGTAGACAATTGATGCAAAACACATTTTCGAACTGTGGACACTGCCAAACCTCCTCGCGGGAAATTGGTTGCAAGACCGGCCAGTCTGGTATCAATTCAGCCAGTGATGGTCTCCTGGACGCACCGCCCTAAAACACGTCACAACACGAGAATAAGACGGCACTGCACAATTACTCATGGATGTGAAACAAAAGGGATAAAAAATGCATTCACTCGGACGAATTACCACTTTCTCGCTGAAAGAAAAAGTCTAGTCGAGTTATTAAAAAGCACATGAGGCACATGAGGCAAATTTAAAACTGGACATCAAGGAGATTATTACGAATAATTATTGGTTCAAATGTTATTTCGTTTTGTGATGGTATATCCTCTTCACTAGGATTGTGTTTCTAAAAGCAGGAATGTAAATAAATCACAGTGCGATTCTGTTTTAAACGAACTGAGATTTTAAAATGTTTTCGGGAGGGATTTTAAGCAAGTTTGAACTCTTTTTTTTTTCAAATCTTCAATAGGAAATTCCCAACCTTCACTTTGATCGTCTCGATGAGCTTTGGCCAATCAGTTACTAATTCTCTCAATGTAGGTTTCCGTTGAATATCAAAAACATCCTAAAAGTTGCACAGGTTAGAGAAATATTTGTGTTATAATTTAAATTGATCATTGGATTTGCACTCAATATGAAGAAAAAATAAAAAATGCAAAAAATATGTGACGTATTGGATATGAACTCGTTGAAATGGAACTCAAACGATCAAATAAGGATGAGCCTCCAGGCAGATTTGGGCATGCTACTGTGCAAAATTAAAATTGTATTGCAAAAGTTAAGTAAGAACTTTTAAAAAGCATAGTTAATATCAAGTTTTATTATTTTTTCCCAAATTTAATTTGTTTTAGTTTCTTAGTTGTTACATTGTTCAGGATTATTGACATAACAAAAAAATAACTAGATTTAACTAGCATTTTGCTTAGGACAAGCTGCAAAAACTTTCTGATATAAGTAAATAATTCTCTTGATCAACGAAAATTGAGATTTAGCAACTTTCAAATCTCAATTGTTATTAGTTAGGTCTATTATTTACGCATATCTAGAAGTCCATGCAACTTTCCTTAAAGCAAAGTGCAACTTACACCTAGTTTAGTTGTTATTTGGTTAAAAAAAATTATCACTGTTACTGCTACGTGCTGCAAACTTTCACACTTCACCAACAATCACACATACTGGTACAGGTAAACAATAAAAACTACAGTGTATGAAATCATGTTAGTTGTAGTTTCAAACCACTTTGTTATAAAATTACTATACTGTAATTTATCAAAGCTAATAAATTGTATAATATTAATAACAACTGCTTAAATATAATTATTTAAATTTCTTCATAATGTTTGTGTCTACTAATTATTCGTATATGAAAACGCGCTTTCAGTCAAGAGACTCATCATTATCCGTCGTTCCAGATTCAGCAATTCATCAGAACTATTCCAATTTCAAAAAAGTTGTAAAAAATACATATTTGCATTAATATTTCATGGGCCACACGTCGAACCTTCAACCAAGACCAGTGAGATCCGCCTCTTTTTCCAGGTGGCAATCTTGCAATTTCGTGACCGTGGGACATGATGACGATGGCGTTTCCATCATTGGGATCCTCGTAATATCCTGTTACAACTAGTTCCTAATAATTGTCTAACATGTTAGTTACATAGAGGGGTACATTGAAAATTGTTAGTCACAGAACATAAATTAATATAACCATAGAAACTGTATAATGATAATTATCTGCGAATCCTGAAATAAGTTGGTACTGGAAATACGTGTTGGAGCATAATAATTACAAAATTCCATTGACAAATTTTGTAAATCCTAACACGTACCTTTTCAACTTTCTTAAGTGCTGGCAGTGGTTTTTCGACTTCTTTCAAATCGCCCCAGTCAGGATCTTCTTTCTTGTCATCCCACTTGGCGTACTTTCTCTTCTTAAGCATAGCTCTGAAGTCCATACCACTGGAATCTATATTATTATAAATAAAATAAAATAAATTATAGAACTTTTAACAATTCAGGATTGAAATTAACCAGACCGAATTTTCAACAAAAACTAATCAGCATAATTTCCAACTGATACAGTTGAAACAGTTTTTAAATTTTGGACGCAAACGTGGGTATCAACTAGAGATTTCTCATTAAGACTCGCTTAAGGCAAAATGTGCTCCTTTTTATCGTTACCTGAAACGTAAAGTTGCATTTCTGCAGAATCTTCTCCGTGGATATTGGAAACCACAACGCGATATTTTCCTTCATCATTTGGCTTGACTTTTCTCATGCACAAAGTGATCGAATTAGTTTCCCCATCAGTAATAAACTTGAATCGTCCTCCTTCGATAATTTCAGTAACACCTTTGTAGAACTTGAAAGTAGGTGCGGGATTGCCTTCTACTTGGATTGTCATGTATCCAGTTTGGTCTAGGAGGAAAAAACCACAAGTTAGATAATTGACACTTCAAAATTTCAATTTTTTTTATTTACCTTCTACTGCTGAGTAGCTCTCCTGGAGATCCACAATAACTGGTGGTCCAGCTGGTCCAAGATCTTTTAAGGGCGTTGAGGGTTTGTTAATAAGATCTTCCATGTCTGCGATGGAAGGTCTTCGCATATCAATCGAAGTACGACGACGTTGCTAAATATTCAATAATATGTCAGGATTGTTTTTATACAAATTTGGGATATGGAAATCATGCTGCAAAGTTAGACCACAGTGGATAGAAGTCTTGTTTTGGTTAATAACAATAAGTAAACAAAAATCATATTCGATTTATATAGATTTAAATAGAGTGTATATATGATTCAAATTCTCATTAATATTGACACTTACTTTGATGTTTATTATTAGATATTTAGTAGTATTTCATTTTACAAACACTTACAAAGCATCAATTAGCAGATGTTGAAAATAATGAATTCATAGAGTTACACATATACAAATAAAGCGACACACATAAGCAGCATTTGTTTCTGAAACTTAATATTATTAGTTGGAATTATTATTATTATTTTAAAAAAAAAACATGTAAAGCATTATAAACAGATAGTATAGAGCAGTAAAATGTATAGGCTGGTGAATAGTTTTGCTACGATGATTTTATTTATATTCATAACTACTACATATATTTTATTTGAAATCCTGAACACACGATTGTAGCACATAAATTTTCACCGTTTTAAAAATACAAAAAAAATGTTAAAGACATTTTTGCTATTGCGATATTCTACTAAATCTTTGTTATCCACAACATAAATAGATTTTCATAATAATTTTGTAACAACGTTATTGACAAATAACAGATAATTATTCATTAGACTACCCTTAAGAAATTCTTACAGAAGATGTTCTAACCTAAACAATGTTCTAAATAAGACAAATTATATTTGTTATCACAGTAGTTATATACGATTCTACTAAAATTTCCAGAAGTAAATTTCTAAGCCTAACCTGTTTCCCAGCCCCCAATTCGCCCGGTCTTCCCTTTTTCTAGACGACAAAAATAGTAATTTAATATTTTTAAAATACAAAATGTGTAACAATGTTTGTGTATAAGAGTTAAATATTATTATATCATGATTTGTGCAGAAAATTGCATTTGCCAACGCTCGATGGACGTGTAAGCACAACAAGTCAAAGCTTTAGGTGAAAAATAATCGATCAATAAATAATCAATTACACCACGCAGACGATTACAATTTTTTTTGGAATTAAAAAAGCATAATTATCGAATTTTCAGTCAATGCCACATCAAAAGGTCAGTTTTGTGTGTAATAACACAAATCTCACCTTCGAATCAATAACCTCACCAGGACGTAATTTTCCAACCTAATGATAATGAACAGAAAGAAAAGTAGCATTAAGATACATACAGAGCATAGAAAAGAATAGACAAGAAAAGATAGAAATTTTTGTGAAAAATGAATATCTAGGACTTAAGGACGAGAAAGGTAAAATTTACCTTTTTTCGACCTCGTGACCTTGGATATTCAGTGGTAAGAAATATGTAGATCTTGGCTTTTAAAATTTAATAAGCATAAATACACAACATATATATATATTTAAGGTAATTCTTACATTTATATTTATTTTGTGTATTTATGCTTTGATATATTAGTGTGAATATTACTTATAAAGAGTATAGAAAATTAAAATGGTGTAGAGAATTTCATGATTTTTGCAAGTAATAGAATAGAAGTCATGAGTAAATAGTAATAGAGATAATCATGTGTCATACAAAAATGCGACATTGATGTTTTTACATTTGCATAAACATTTATATCAGCATTTTTTATCAAAGTATAACCGTTTTTAAAATATACTGGCCAAAGACATTATTCATGCCAGTTGTATACTGTGGCATATCAAATAATCACATAGATTCATAGGAATTATACTTGTGATTGCTTGTAAATAAATAAATAAATAAAATTCATATTGATATCTTAAAAACGGCAATACTCGGTGCATTTCAAAATAAACGAGACTTGAGTCAGATATTTTTTAACTGAAGTAAATTTCTTTAACAAGTGGTATTTGAACGATCCGTTTAACAAAAATGGATTTCATACACGTTACTCTTTTTCTGTATTTTATCTATGTGCAAAAGGAGAAGCTATGGAAAAAGCTTCTACCAATATCCTTAAAGCTATTCCGACGATTGATTTTGAAAGCTTGTACAAAACCCGGTGGCGATTTTAAATAAATAATCTCCAATTTTTCAAGACTATATTCCAGTCGTTATTTTTTTATCTAGTCTCGTTTATTATTGATGTATTGTAGTTGAAGAGATAGTTGAAGTCGGTGATTGCTTTAACGTGCGATGCATTTATGCAGGATGCCCCCATAACCAGCCACATCAGACTTCCAAAGACCATTGAGTTAGTGCTAGTCTGTTTAATATTTATAATAAAAAATGGAAAAAGCTGCTGAAGATTGTTACCTTCCGCTCATCTATCACCTCTCCTGGTCGGAGTTTTCGATGCTCCTAGAATACGCAGCGATCCATTTTCAATAAACAAATATAAAATTGTGTTATCGTCATGTGTAGAATATATATATATATATATATATATATATATATATATATATATATAATTGGTGTATGTAATTTTTTTTGCTACTGGGACACACGTTTTAGTTCTACGGGTCAGGTCTTTCAACAAACTTTGCTTTAGAAACCATTGCTCGCAAGTAAATTTCAAGCCAGTGAAATTTTCCTTCGAGTTTTTGCTCCATATTTTTGAATATTAACTCGTAACTATCTCACATCTACTTATCTGGAAATTTGATAAAACTATACAAGGTTATAGAGTAGTTAGTTAAAACAAACCCTCTGAATTATATGGAAAATGAAATAAATTGCTAGTGAGATTCAAAAATGTAAAGGTTGGAAATATGAAAAATAATAATGAAAAATCTCAATATATCGACAGTAAACAATACACCTATTTTTCTAAATTTTAATCAATTAATAATATAATTTAACCGTTCCTTATAACTCTACAATATTTCAAAGCATTTTTAAACCTTATAACTATGCGAAGTTTTATCAATTTTCCATACACGAAAACATGAGAATCTCGTAAGTTGGTTATCAAGTATACGAAGAAAAAAATTTATTGAAAATTCGACGCAGACCGAAACGTATAGATTTAATAAACCTGTAATTTTTATTTACTAGTCATAACCAGCGCATTTTTTGCGTACATAAATTTTTGAAAGTATAAAATATTACAACATTTCAAAATATGTTGTGGCTGAGTGTATATGTCATATTTTAACTAGTGCATAAATTATAAATTTATAATGTATAAAATTACTCATTGTACTAGTATGATTTACCTCGTCGCTGATGATAAGACTTGGTCTACGTCCGCCTTCCTCAGGTGGAATAAGCGAACCTCTGCGACTGTTTTGCCCTGATCCAGGAGCCAAAGAGCCCTTTCTACCGTCCAAAGTCGGTGTCTTCTCCCTTATAACTTCGATCTTAGGAGCAGTCTTTGGTGTTTTAATTTCAGGAACTTTCACTTCCTTAGCCTCCTATTCACACACAAAACAACTTCATTTCTTATTTCCTACATCACTAGTAATGTAAACACTTATTTTCTACATCATGTTTCAATTTAATTCTGCACTAAGTACTAGTCATTGTCCTATCCACAAACCGACTGCGAATAAATCTTGTTAGATCTTAAGCAGAATATAATAAAATGAGTCCATCATAATCTAGGGGGGCAATGTTACATATCTCGTTATCGAAAATAGGCCAATTATTGAAAAGCTGCAACATGAGCCAAAGTCAATACAATGATGTTGTATTATACTCGCGAAGATAGTTTGTATGATAAAGTTAAGGTTTTGGCAGATAGACAAATCAGAAGCGATTAGATTGTTTAATAACCGAATGTTGCTAAAATTACATTTAAGTACTCTTATTATCTATGAAGTACTATGTAGTAATCAACATACTGATTTAAATAAAATACAAAAGGTAAAAATAGGTAATAAATAGTTTATGAAGTGAGCTGCAATGATTTTGATATTTGTTATATTGGCGTACGTTTACAATACGTTTTTAAGATAATAAATTCAAAACTATGTGTTTGAATGTATTATTAATTTTTGAAACACTTTAAGATTTAAGATCGGTGCCGACATTCGTGGACGACAAAATCCTTCTGGATGAAAAAATTTTACTCAAACAAGACAAGCCACTTAAATTGAATAAAAATAATATATACCAATCAGGAAAAAGCTTCGAAATATAAAAAGTATAAGAACAAAATCTTTACCAAAGTAAAGTAAATAAAATTAAACTGGTGATGCAAAATACTTATTACAAACTTTTAAGTCAATTTTAGAAACCAATTTCGGAGAATGGGACCTCCGAAATATCGACAAAATACATTTTCATAAAAAATTTAAGTTTCATTATTAAAAAAGTATGTGTGTATCCACTTACCTTCTCTTTCACCTTTTTGGGTGTCTGTGTGAATGTTGGTTTCTCAAACTTCTCCAACTCAGGTCGTTCATAATCTGGAATTTCTGGCAGTTCTTCATACTTGGGTTTGGACAATTTGGCGGTTTGTTTTGCTTCTTTTACCTCCAATGTCTTCTCTCCAGCCTTCTATAATATTCATTCATTTACAGTATTTTAATCGAGATGATGTGATTGTTGCAATATATTTCTAATATTGCAATATGGCATTTATAAAGTCTATTTATGTAGTGTACTACATGGATGGATAGTGCAGCAAATCACGATATTGAACATATAGAGAAATACATATATAAAACATATTACATTTATATTAAATATTTATAGAATGGGGGTTCTCAAATTATAGTATTAAATTTCGTAGATATTGATAGTACCAGTTTTGATACAAAAAGGCTACTATTATTTTTTGTTTTAATGATGCAATCAATGTCAGCAGAATTAGAAACTATTTTAGAGAACATGTATTCTTTTTATAATTGAATGAGTCACTAGAACTATGGTCACCTTACTAGTAATAAAATAAGCAAACGTAACAATCCTATTGAATAACTCAAGTATATTTTTTTGGAAAATGAACTCGAATTATTTAGTCAGAAATCCTGCTGCTGTATACAATATTGAGAACCCCTTATATAACACATAGAATATAAATAATAGTTTGTTAGACACAATATGCAGTGCAGAGTAAAAGAATATTTCGAAACATATAAAATAAGAGTACATCAGAGTAGACACATATATAGATAAAGTTTCAGCGTTTATGCTGATGATTATGATAATTCTGATCAGCAATTGAGTACCAGAGTAGAGATAGTCTTGTTAATGCTGAAGAATCGACATCTATATAATTATTTACATTACTGACGACATATAGAAATACACAGAGAGGTGAAGATTCAAGAAACAGATCAGTTGCAGATATTCCGTGCGACAGTTCAGATAGCTATTTGAGTAATAGCGCGTTACCTTCAACTCAATTTCTGAATTCACAGCCTTTTTTGGTTCTACCTTTTCTCGGACAACTGGTTTCAGCTGGATATCTATAAAACTCTCGTGTTGGACCTTAACAGGTTTTAAAGGTCGCTTCGATTTTGGTTTTGTCGCATCAGGTTCGGTAGATTCATTCTACATTAGTATATATCATAAATCAAAAATATCTATACAATACGGATATTTATAGAAATCCGTTTGGTAAATATTGTCAGTTGTTGCTGGGAAACCTGGAAATAAAATGTTTTTATTGCTGTGCAAACTTACCTTGAGTGTTTTCTTCAGAGTGACTTCTTCTGCCTTCTGCTCGATGGAAACATTGTTTGATAATTGGAAGTTTTGTGAAGACGCAGCAATGGTTCATGAAAAAGAAATTTATATTAATATTTTATAATTAATGTCGATAAAAAATCAAAAGCTGTAGCTGTAAGTAAGCCAGTTTAGTGACATATAATAAGTAGATAGTGCAACATAGAGATTAGCACTAAAAAAAATATTCTGTTAAATTATAAGGCAATTGTGTTCAAGTTTGCTACTCTTGCCAAAAACTTTGTATATTGACAAAATTCCAAAGCAACTTCAGTGTCTCAATAAAATTCTAATTTATCTACAAAAATATTTAGTATTTGTTTTCGACTTTTTGCTATTTGATGTGTAGTCTTTAAGCCAGAACAAAGGCATAAGTTAGTTTTTTAAAAATGTTAATCTTTTAGAAAAAGTCCGTTGAATTGAGTTCTTCAATTTTACAAAAATGCCAATAAATCAGTATATAAAACTGTTGCGTAGACTCTAAAAAAATATATTATTACTTAAAAAACTGCAAAATAAAAAACATTTAGAATCTTTGGTAGAAGCCATAGAAATTCATAATTAAAAAATGATAAGTGAAATTCAGATTTAAGAAAGAAAGTGCAGATAGCGACAGTTTTGCAATTTGCAAAGTGAATGCTGCAAATCTTTACCTGTGGGACAAGGTTATTAACATTCTTTTTAAGGGAAGGTTTATCTGTTCCAGGAGATGTTTTTTCTGGTTGTTTTGATGGTTGTGTATCTTTTGATTTTGGTGTTTCTACATCACTAGGTTTAGCAGAAAGTGTATCTTTGACTGTGTCTTTTGGCGTTTCTTTGGGAGCGTCTGTAGTTGGTTGCTTGGGTGTCTCTTCTTTAGGACTTTTCAATTTTGTGTCAACTACTTTCGGAATTTCTTCGGATGGTTTTTGGGCAGGTTTAGTGACATTGTTACGAGTTGGCGTTGGTTCGTCAACAGATTCCGATATATCGGAAACAACACTGTTAACTGATTCACGCCTGCTATCTGCAGTTGGTTTAGTTAGTGAAGGTTTGCGGACTCCAGGTGTCTTTTTTTCTGGTTCCTACATAATTGATACATATGTAATATGGCAAAGGACAGTGACAACGATTAACATGCACACGTATATAACAAAAATAAACTCAAAAATTTTGCGTTAAAACTTTGAACATAAATAATGGTATGACTAAATATGAATTACTGAAACTCTTTATGAATTCATCAATTCAGTCAGAGTTTTATTTACTTAGCACAAGAGTTTGAAGTTGTGTGTATTATTTACAATTTACTTAAATTTTTTAGTTGTAACATAAATAAAACGACATGAAACTATTGACATTATCACATGTAAATGTTTGAAAATAAAGAGTTAAACATGTATATTTGTCTACCTGTGCTGTTTCTTTTTTCAAACCGAACTTCTTGGTTTTAGTTTCAGCGACGTTATTTGTTTCAAGCTGTGAAATGTCGGGTAAGTTTAAGATTGTATTATGTATATGTGTGTTTAAATATAAAAATATAATTGTATAAAGAAATGTATACCTTCTCAGAAATTGTTTTTTCAGCAACGGATGAGCGTCTGGATTCGCTCCTGGATTCGCTTCGCGATTCACTCTTATATTCTTCGAGCTGAAAAATTATAAATGAATTAGAATTGAATATTTGGATCATATTCAAAAATACGGTTCCATACTTACTTCAACTTTTTCGCCATCTTTCATTGTAAACTGGAATATGGAATATTTATATTAGTATATAATAACGACTTTAAATGACTATTAAAACTGCAGTTCCCATTAACAATGAATAAAATAATTGAGAAAAAAATTAAATTAATAAAATTTTTCGAAGAAAGCTTTTGTATAAGAAGTTTAAATATATCTTACTGACCTTCTCTTGTTTAATAAGCGATTGGCGACGACTTTCAGATTTCTCTTCAATTTTCTGAACAGACATCTTACGTTGAGTTGTTTCTTTCTTTTCTTCTTGTTTTCCATTAACAGCCTAAATTATAATACATTTATATAAGTATTATATTATTTATTTAATGTTATTATATTATATTTATACGAAAAAATATAAAAAAATACCTTTTCTGGAACCTCAACTGGTTTGAGTTGGACGCCCATTATCTGTTTCTTCTGTGAAAAGTAATTTGAAAAATAAATTAGTTTGACTTCTACGTATTACTTAATGCTACCTTATTGATAAATTAAAGTTCTTGACAAAAAATATCAAAATAATTAACAATAAAGTGTAATTTTATCTTGAGACACAAAAAAAAATCAATGTAAAAAGTTGATTATATTTTCACATATAACGTTTAATTTTGTTATTTACAAGAATTATAGACAATTACGATTAGTAAATGAATAGAAATATGGTAACATATAAATTAGTAAAATTACTTATTATTTTAAAAAATTATATTAAAATGTATCTCAGTACCTCTTCGTCATCTTCATCTTCATACTCATCAGGAACCGAGATGATCGGAGTTGGTTCTTCATCAGACTAGATCGAATGTTAGTCACAAGATTCATTATTTACAAACATAGAACATATAGAACATTAATTAACGAGCGCAATAAACATACACATTTAAATAATCTTCTAAAAATTATGAATTTAATATAATGCAATAAAAAATATCGCTTATGAAGATGTAAAACTGGAAACACAAAACACATTTTGTAATTTGTGTTAAAATTTATTTAAAACGAAAAAATCTTTTTTTTACTTTTAAATAGTAGTAGAAACAGCTAAAAAATTGAAACATATTTGAAAACTTGTTTTTGAATTTAATACTTTTTTCTCGTAATTGTGACATTATTGTATTTTTATTGCGCTATTTTGGCACTAACAATAAGTCAGTTGTTATTTACAATTATAATCATATAAAAAATGGATTGACTTGATTGTAAGATATACTATCATGTGGTGAAAATTATTAATCGACAACGCTTGGAAAAAATTAGAACGCGTACAAGTATTAAAAATATATTAACAGTATTCAGTAAATAACTAATAATAACCTTTTTCGTTCAAGGGTAATTATCCTCGAAAAGTGCTAAAAGTAAATGTGATAGAGGTGTATAATTTTAAAATTTACTTGTTTAATCTATAGCATTTTGAATATATTAAATATCGATTTAAAAAATATGCCTATGTGTTTCAATAAACAATTGTGAAACTATTATGGATATATGATGGATAAAATCAGTCCTTTCTCAAAATTTCAGAAACTGGAAAAGCTAAATTGAGTGAATTCAAGTGTTATAACATAAATAGTTAAAAACAAATATAACATAAATGGTTCATTTCGTAAACTATTGATTTTTACCTCTTCTGGAGCTTTTTTGGGCGTTGGTTTTAACTTAATAGCATCTAATTTTTCTTCCTTCTTTTCTACTGTCTTCTTTGCAGCCTTCTTCTCCTCGACAATCTTCTCTTCGAGCTTTTTCTTTTCTTCCACTTTCTTCTCTTCTATCTTCTTTGCTTCCGCTTTCTTTTCTTCTTCTTGCTTTTTCTTTTCCACTTCCTTTTTCTTCTCTTCTTCTACCTTCTTTTTTTCTTCTTCCTTTTTCTTTTCTTCTACCTTCTTCTTCTCTTCTTCTTTCTTTTCTTCTTCCTCCTTTTTCTAATAGAAAGTAAATATAAAGAAAATATAACAAATCTAATCATAGAATTTTGTAAAAAATAATATTAACCTTCTTATCTTCCTTAAGAACTAATCTGGCAGAAGATTCGTCTTGGCCAAATTCATTGCTAACTACGACTCGGTAGCTCGCAACGTGTTCAGTTTTAACTGTAGATATTGTGAGACGAGCAATTTGTCCATCGAATGTTGTTTTATAAACTGTCGTCTCCTTAATGATCGTAGTGTTCTTGTACCAAGTAACCTTTACCTTCTTGTCAGAAGTTTTCAAACTACACATAAACTCTGCCGATTTACCTTCTTCGATAGTCTAGAATTTCACAACAAAATTATAAGAAAATTGTTCATTCATGCATTACTAAATATAAAAAGATACATACAACATCAACAAGTCCTTTAACAATTTGTGGTTTTTCGCCTTTTTCTGGTTCAGGATCCGGTAAATCTAAGATCGTTACTTCTTGTGATGTTGCCTCGCCCTTTTCATTCTTTACAACCAATTTGTAAGTACCTTGATCTTTCTTTGTACATTCTGAAATTTCCAGTTTGACAGCAAATTCGCCCTAGAAAAAACAATATATTACAGTTTTTGGTTGCATTACATGTTTAGGAATACATATAATGATATTTACATCTTTAATTTGTTCGACATTGACGGTATGTCTGGAACTTTCCCTGATGGCGCTAGTCTCCTTGAACCATGTACATTCTGGAGCAAATTTACTCACAACATTGCATTCAACAATAACAGTACGCTTCTTAATAATCTTAATAACTTTTGGTTTTTCTTTAATTACTGGAACCACTTCAATATTAAGCGTAAGATTGGCATTTAGTTCTCCCATACTGTTTTTGATGTTACATTTGTAAAGACCAGAATCATCCATTCCAGGATCTTTGAGTTCTAATTTGATGTAATATTCATCACCCTTTTGATCCATGGTAATCTTGATTCGGCTCGACTCCTTTACAACTTGACCATCTCTTGTCCATACGATGGTAGGAGCCGGATTGGCTTTCACTTTGCAATCCATAATTACTAATTTTCCACCTTGTTGTGAAACAATTCGTGGTTTTTTCGATGAACGTGGGGCCATCACCTTCTGGTTCTGGCTCAGCTTCAATATTAAATTCAAGTTGGCATTGCTTTCACACCAAATTCATTCTTGACGTTACACCTATAAGTACCACACCGTCTGGACCGCTAGGATCCTGAATGTAAAATTGTAATTTATTAGTATGAATTGTTTCGAATAATACCATAAATCATCGTACCTTGATTCTAGGGTAAGTTCAAATACTTCTTCTTCTACATCTACCGTTCGTATTTTAATTTTACTCGATTCTTTAACGACTGTGGTTCCGCGATACCAAACGACATCAGGCTTGGGCTTAGCTTTACATTTACATTTCATTGTTATTAACGAGCCTGTTTCATTAGGAATAATTCTTGGTTTTTCGATGAACGTTGGCGCGTATCCTGCAGCATCATCACCGCCTATAAAATATATCATTTAGATACATTCCAAGACAGGTGTTTGAGTGCCCTACACTAAGTCCTGACTAAATTTTATGAGCGCATGAGATATTTGTCCAAAATTTCTGCCACTTACATTGTGCACTCCACTTACCACTTTCAATACAGCATCACCAAACTTAGACTGAAATCAGACAATAACAACACTATTATTATATTATTAAAAGTAAAGTAACTACCTTGGAAGTTAAGAGCTATATTGGCATTGCTTTCACCATAATTGTTGAAAGCGTTACATCGATAATTTCCACCATCTTCTCTAGTCGGATTAGATATTTCAAGAGTTAATATATACGTATCCTTGCCGTTGCTTTTCTGGACATCTTAATTTCGTGAGGTACCACCAATGACTTTTGTTCCCTGATACCATGTTATATCGGGTACCGGATGTGCTTCTAAGTGATTCCATTATTAAAATGTCACCCTCTTGTCTAATCGTTGGCTTTTTAGGAACTCTGGGAGGCTTTCCATCCATCGGGAATTCTATTTGTGATCAAAAGTAAATCAATACCAAAGTCATAACAAGTTTAATTCGATTAAAAATCGAGCTGTGCTCGTACTTAGGTTTACCGCCACCCCAAAATTCAAGTTAATCGTCGCAATGGCCTTCGCCGTGTGTTTATTTCTCGCAACAGCTCTGTATTCGCCTTTGTCGGAGTCTTTAACCGAACTTATTTCTAAGCGTGCATGTGGTAAATAATTTTTGGTCTTGCTCAAGGGATATTTTGTACCTGCCGCCATCCTTGACTTCTTCCTTGCCGTGGTACCTGTGTAATTCAAACAATTGACACAAAATATGTTCATGATATCATACTGATGCCTGATGCCTGATGTCTTACCAACGACCGTCGGTTTCGGGTCGCCGCCGCGCAGCGGCATTCGAAGGTGATCTTGCCCCCGTCGTCGGCCTGCCTGATGACCGGTCGTCGGTGAACGTCGGCTTGATACCGTCGTCGGGCACAGGCGCTTC